ATTATTATTATTATTATTATTATTATTATTTTAATATTAACCATCTCAGATAGATATTTGATACTTTTGAGTCTATGCTATTTTGTTATGAATCAAAATTTTATAATTCGATCTAATTAGTTGGATAAGGAATAATGTAATAAGTTTAATATATAAATTTGTTCATTGTAGCTCATTTACTTATCTAAATAAAAATTAATAGATAGGGGATTCATAATAAGAAAGTGATTACGAATAGTTTTAAAACTTATTCTCAAACTCCTTACTATTTCAGTACATTGTGTATGTGTGTGGGTGTACGTATACGTCATAGATTTTTTTGTTGCCATGACACTGGTACCAGTAGTTCAAATGATCTAAACTAACAGATTACGATATTTAGTGGATTCACTTTCTTCTTACACAATAAATTTTGATTACTAGGTTTCGTATTCTTCATATAACCATCTAATAAGTTTTTATGTAAATTGTACATATACAGATTGCTGTAATTATATTTCTCTTGGAATAGATCATCCACAGAAACGGAATAGTTATAAATAGGATATTTTATAAAATGCATCAATTAAACTGTACTCTTAATTTCTATCATATTTTGTGTGTTCAATGACTGTTTATTCACATTTTTCAATATAATAACGTTTCAGCCTTTGTCATAGTTCGCTCGAGTATTTAGTAGCAATGACTGATAAGTACTATGTTTTCCTTTTTGTCATTAATGTATATCTGTACTACACTATTCAGGTTTTATTCTACGCTGCGTCTTTTAAACTGTCACTGATTTCAGTATGTGTTTCTTTTTCACTTGAAATTTACTAAACTCATGATTAATAAATTTACTTAAAAATCTTAAAATCTGGGATTACGATTATTTTGATGGAGATTTGTTATCTGAGCTCAGAGAACAAAACTCTATCAAAATCATCCATCTGAGCTACAAATTTTCTTCACCATCTCATTACGATTATTATCCTAATAATACTTCGGGATTAAAAGAGATTTTGCCTTGTACATCAGGCGACGAGTATTATAAATTGTTTCATGCCTTTCATAGTTGTAAAATATATGAATCTCATCATTCGTAGTCATATAAAAGTTTCAGAAAACCTAGTTATCATTTTTTTTGAATCACTTTTTACAGATAGTGAGTTTATTTCATCAGAAGTAATGAGATTATATCTCAAATTATAGACATAATTTAAACATATTACTTAGATAAGTAATCAGTTTACTAGTGGTTGGGTTTTCCATTATTACATGAAGGTATAATATTTGAATTATGGAATACCTACTTGTCATTCTTTTACTTACAAGGAATTATTATTCATTGAGCTGGGGTTATACCGACATTGAGATTTTTTCTTACTAAAACGTTGTGTTTACTTACGCTGTTTACCCTTACTTGTTAGATTCCTGAGAGTAGGTAGGAAGAAGCTGTAGACAGACTGGCGTGAAATCAGTTTATAAAATCATTGACTATTAGCTCGAACCATATCACTAGGTTCAGAATTTCTGCTTGGGGGATACACAATACATGTAGTCTATTTGGAAACGTTGAGTGATATAATACACAAAACTATTCACAGTGATACAGTTGGATTTTTTCTCTATCTTCCCCTAAATTTGGTGATAAGTGTTGTTCATCCTTCAATTTCATGTCTTTTTTGAGTTGTATTTTCTATGTTTACCTTCCCGTTACTGTTAAGACCAAGTCTTCTTGTGCGCTTTTCATCTTATTAATTTACTAGTTACATATGCTGATGTGGGGTATGCTAACTTGGACTGATATAAATTTGTATCAAGTCATATATCGTTAAACTGGTTGGCTGTTTGTTAGAATATTCGCACTTTGAACGTGTTATCATGACCTGTATTTTCTCAAATAGTAATTATGTTAACCAGTTAAAATGTTTTCTACTTGACATGTTACTAACCAGAGCATTCTATTCAACCATTATTCACTAAAGTTAATTCTTAACGGTTTATATACTAGATTCTCAACGGAACCCATTCTGACAACTTCATCTCACTGTCCTAATGATAAGGTGTGGCAATTTGGTCTGATGTACCAGGTTCTATGTTGTATATGACTGACTAACTATCTCGAACACCCAAACTAACGTAGTAACAATGAACTTAGACACATTAGATAATAGCGTTGTTATTAAAGCATATTTTTTTAGTTTTGTTTTCTCTAAGATAAATAGTTTTATTATGAATCTTTCATAATGCTTTCTTCGTAATATCATCGTCTGATTTTAATAAAAATGCAAAAGCAAAACTTTGCAGCCATTATCTCATATGGCTGATGAAGAATGCGACACTACTGGATAAAAATGCTAATGATCTTTATTCCTGTGATGTCCGCGTTGCCAATTACTTACAAATAATCTTATTTAGACCATCCCTGTGGGTGGGATCATGAGCACGCATTACTGAACGAAAGAGTTGTCCAGTGCTCCATGAGTTTCAATGGTGGTTTAGCTATGATAAGTTTTTGACTTAAAATATGAAAATTTTCCAATCTACCTAGGACTTTATACTAACAAATCATTTTATTTAAAATCAAATTGCCTATTCTATGACTCACTTCGTTACATCATTCGTTCCTCAATCATTAGGTAACAAACTATCATTCCACTTCTTATGTATATTGACTTCGATAACTATGGTAGTCTTGCTAGTATTTGTGTAATAGATGTGGGTTTCATAATCTAGTTTCCTTGATCAAATGAAATTTAAAGGACAATTCATATTTAAAATTTTTACATGTTAACAGATATACAAGTAAGTTGCGTAATATTTATCATAGTTTTCATGTAATGTATTTACCAATTATAGGTTTATCTACTCAAATTTGTCTCACATACACACGTTTGTTCGAGGTTATCTATTTCAGTAAATATCGTCATTTCATTTTATTTGTGTTTGGGCTGTGATACTGTCCGGTTGCCCAAACAGAGGTTATCCGATGTCACTACTTTAACTACCCGGTTTCCCTTACTGAAGTTAGTAGAAAAGAAGTAGAATTTTAGAGACTGTCACTTATTATTATAAGCTAAGTGGTTTGATTATTTGGTCACCACTACTCTACTGTGTGGGTTGTTAATATTAACTGATACACTTAAATTCAGTGTTTGATATTTATGATTAGTTGATAAAAATTCTTGTGTCATTTGTCATCATGAAGTGTATAACAATACCGTTCCATTCAATGATATTAACTGTAGGAGGTTTCATTACGGAAAATCTATCAGAGGTCTTGATTAGAATACCTAGCATGTTGGGTCCTCTAATAATATTCTCATAACTTTCGGATTGCCTTTTTTCCTAAGGGCGATGACACAGTGGATAATGCTATTTTTGTGTGCTAGGTTCAAAGTCGATTGTATGCTCTATGTATACACTCCTTATTATTGTTCCAATTCAAAGTTTGAACCTCACTTCATTGATTTCAATTTGGACAGTAGGGTAATACTATTGTCTCATACATATTGTCTTGTGACTCAATGCCGTGTACATAAATCTATACTTCATATGTGTCACATAGTCATAGTATTTCAAATATCCTTTAGTGTGTAATATCTTTGCAAATAAAATTTTGAACTCATAATCTTTCATGTGTTTTACAATTTCGTTCTTATAAATATCATTAGTCTTTTCTCAATTTAATATGTTTTACACGTTTATTTATATTTTAAATGAGTAAAAGTTATTCAAATAGATTTTCATGAATAAATTCAACTAGTGATATATGATTTAATTTGATTATCTTGATTTCTATCGTTTAATTTGATTGACCCATTTGTTAAGTAATGACAACGTTTAAGGTTAAGATTTATATCTTTGAACGTGTAGCATATTTGCTTTTCAATATTTAGCATTTTCCTGTTCATTTAGTGAGTGAATACTGCACATGAAATCATAATTTTCACTGATGATTTCATCTTAAGCTGTTACCTTCATTGGATTCACTGTTTTTCATTTGAAAATTTGAGATGCGCTACAGTGTCATGTTTATAGAAGGTATATGTAGATTACTTTAGATTGTTGAAATGAAATCACTAGTGAAAACTACATTCTTATAAGCAGTACTGACCCACTGAATGAATGGGGAAAATACTACAGTACACTAGATATTGCATTTTTATTAAACAGTGAAAAAGTATGACTATCATCACACCAATGTAATACTGAAAAGTCAGTGTTTAATTGTTTATTATAAATTGTAACCTTCTAGATATCAGTGTATATATATTGATAGAAAAAAGGCGACACCAAAGTCTAAAGCATAGTTTACATCTAATGAATAATAATAGGCACTAATAACTTATATTATTTACCTAAAACCGTCTTTATCAGTAATGAAACAATCAGTTTATGATCACCTAAGTCTTACATCATTCCCCCCATTCTTAGTTTCATTTTATCATTTATCACCCGTTATTCTCAAGTGTGTATACAGAGTTCATTGTGGTCACTGTTATTGCGTCATTTCGATCATTATCTACATCGTAAACACCATTCATCATTATATCATTATTATTTATTCTTGTCTAAAGTTTTTGCGTCTATCACCTACCATGAAACATTCAATTATTAGTAGTATATATATATATATATTCCCTTTATTTAATGTTCATTATTTACTTATGTCTCTGTTATCATCATCGTCATCATCATCTTCATTCTCATCAACAAAAAGGACTATCAGAATTTTGCTTCTTTTATTTTTATCATCCTTCCCATTTGTTTGATTGTCTGTTTGATGATGTTTGATTATGATCGGGATATGAATGTTGATATGTAATTGAACGTGGTGGCTGGTTCGCGTACTAATTATTGTTTGATTTGTTCATTGTATGTCTGTTCTTGTATATTATCGCTTGCATGTTTGTATGTACTGATTTGTATTTAAATTGTTGAATGTATTTGTGTGTGTGTATGTGTTTGTTCATGAATGAATGCTTGTACATATGTCCATGGTCCACTACTCTCAGGTACAACAGAACGTGTTTGCCTAATTATTGGATCGTTCGATGGTGTCATTACTGTACATAATTATATAATGGATCGAATCATGGAAAAACCTGATCCTAATCCAAATACAACTGGAGAAGGCAGACTGAATGTTGAACGTCATAAGCAGGTAGGATTTTTTTTATTTGTTATATTGTCGTTTCCTTCTGTTTACTGTGTTATCGATTCATACATAATCATATTATCGTTCACACTACAGTTCAACTAAATTACTTGTGATCAGTTTTTATTGTCAATATTTTCCTTAAAAATATTCTTTCTTTTTCCAATATTTTACATTTTGTTTTAATTTTTAAAAATTTGATTTATAGGTGAAAATTCTTGTACCGAATAGTACAGCTGGTATGGTTATAGGGAAAGGTGGATCATATATTCAAGAGATCAAAGAGAAAACTGGTGCATATGTGCAAATTTCACAAAAATCTCGTGAATTCAATCTCTTAGAACGATGCATTGTTGTTGCCGGTAAGTTATTCATGATGTATTGGAAGAAGATTAAATTATTGGAAACTTCTGGGAATTATTTATTGGCCGTTATTATATATAGTCAACTGTACAGAAACAACACAATGATCTGATAGGATAAGGAGACGAAATTATTTAGGTCAATATTTTTTGTATCGATTCATTATGAATTTCCGCCAGGGTGATAGGTGTGAACTTCGTTCACATTGACATTCACATTAGATCCTCCTGGTTTATCAACATTGTTATCCAGGTTTTTAAGGACTCCCACCTCTTCCATAGCTTTGTCATCAAGTGTAATTTGGTTGATGGTTCGCTAACTGAAAATTCCCAATTACTGTAATTTTTTTTTCAACAGAAAGCCTTTTTTATACTCGATTTGATTTTCCCGATTGTTGTACCGATTGGTTTTAGTGTTACACTGATTTTACAGTGCCTTATTAGAAGTTGTAAGCATATAGAGTTAATTGCTTTTTAATGCATTAGTTCCTCGTACTTATTTTTCACTCCAGAAAAACGTTTCTGAAATTCATTTCTAATCTCTTCTTTAATGCATTTACATAGCATCGTGTGCATAGTACTGTTCAGGCACTTCGTTATACTCTGTGATGGGAATCTTAGGATTTAACCATCTACGCATAACATTATATAGTTGCTAAAATTTTCAAATAAAATCATCCTCATATAAGACATACTTACTTACACCTCTTACCCCTCTTGAAAGAGGATAGGCTACTCACCAGGATGATCCATCCAAATATCTCCTGGACAGTTCTATCTAGTTGTGTAGTGAACAAGAACACGAGTGGGGACAATCGAATGTATTTAGCACAACAATTACAGTCTATCTCAACAAAATCTGAATACCATATATTAAATCGTCAATTTGCAAAATATTCACGCATCAAACCAAACTGAATTGTTTCTGTTGCAAACACCAATCTATTGTCTCCCATTCCATTGTTCATAGGTTTTCTTACAAATTCCATTATGTTCTCGCTCCACCTTTCTTAGTCTTCGCCATCTTTTGCTGCCGGACATTACGTTCTTTTAACGCACGTTATATACTACTTATATCAATATAAGTAGCTCACACCACACTCGTCCCCCCCTTTAAAGCAGTCGTCCTTGTGGTGGTTCATGCTCGCCGTGCAACATTCTCCGTCTCTGCAGTCTGTGCCGCGCTCTCCGTCAAAATGTCGAGTCTGCGGCGCGCTGACTTCCATAGCTCCGTCGACCTGCCAGTGCAACAACGACCGACATCCACCCGGCACGTGGGACGCTTAACACCCGCACTCCACCGGCCTGCCGAGCCATCTACATCCGATGTCCGCCCAGCAGCCGCGCGTCCCACCGCTTCTCTCCGTCGACAGCACCCGCTACAGCCAACGCCGCCCCGCCAGAACACTCCACCAGACGCCACCTCTCCGCACCAGACTGCTCCAACTGGCACCTCAACTCCAGGCCCGCAACGGCGTCCGCAGAACAGCACCCTCCCCCTCTCCCGGTTGGCAGCGACACCAAATGTAGTGAACAAGAACACGGGTGGGGACAAACGGATGTATTTAGCACAACAATTACAGTCTATCTCAACAAAATCTGAATACCATATATTAAATCGTCAATTTGCAAAATATTCACGCATCAAACCAAACTGAATTGTTTCTGTTGCAAACACCAATCCATTGTCTCCCATTCCATTGTTCATAGGTTTTCTTACAAATTCCATTATGTTCTCGCTCCACCTTTCTTGGTCTTCGCCATCTTTTGCTGCCGAGCATTACGTTCTTTTAACGCACGTTATATACTACTTATATCAATATAAGTAGCTCACACCACAGTTGCTATTCATCCTTTTCATGTCTGCTTCCAATTCCCGACATAGTGTGTTCTTTGGCCCTCCACTTTTCCGTTGCCCTTCAGGATTCTAAGTTAGCACGTGCCTCGTGATCCAGTTTGGGGATTTCTGTAATGTATGTTCTATCCACTTCCAAAGTCGTTTCCTAATTCCCTCTTCATATGGAACTTGGCTTGTTCTCTTCCCCAGTATGCTGTTGCTGATAGTTACCGGTCAACGAACATTGAGTATCTTGAGTAAACGGTCAGCTATAAGTACTTGTACATTTTTGATTATGGTTGTAGTAGTAGTAGTAGTAGTAGAAAACAACTTTGCTAAACGACTCTAACCATAGAAGATATATATATTAATAATAAAATGTCATAATTCTCATTATTAAAAACAAATTTTGACTTCAATAAAAATTTCAAGTTAATAATTGTTATTTTAATTTTATTATTTTAGGTGAATTAGATCAAGCACGCGCTGCTGTTCATTTAATTTTAAATGTTATTGCTACAGATCCACAATCAGCTAGTTGTCCAAATCTTTCATATCATGATATTCAAGGACCAGTAGCTAGTGTTTATCCAACTGGTTCACCATATGCAACACCGATTATTCCTTATTTAACAGGTTCGACTATTTTATCTAATCCATCAATTGATACAAATTCTGCTTCTGCTACAGCAGCAGCGGCCGCTGCCGCTGCAGCGGCAACTATGATGGCAGCAGCTGTAGCATTTACACCTGGTCCATCGTCACAACCAACCACATCATCATTTATTTCTTCACCAGGTGGTAGTACTACATTTGGATTTTTTCCATCGAATTTTCAATCAACACCAGATATTGCAACAATTGCAGCGTTAACATCAAATCCTACAGCTACTGGTGGATCAATCGTTTTGCCGTCTATACTGCCTAACACTGGTAATGATAGAACTCTATGTAGTAATTTGTCAGGAGATTTATTTTCACAAACTGTTGGTGTGGGTGGTAGTAGTTCACCATGGTCAAATATTTCAGGACGAACTGGATTCGATGTAATAGTGCCTGATCTTAATGCTGCTTCTGCATTAACAGCAGTATCAGTTGCACAAGAAGCTTTAACTGGATCTTTCATATCACCTAAACCACAAGATTCTCAGTCAAGTCGTTCTGCATTATCGCCTCCAGTATACTTTCCTTCATCTTCATTTATTCCAGGTAGGGATTGGGTTGATTAGTGTGTGGAAGTTTCACTGTTAGTGATGCTTATTGTTTTATGTACTTAATATATTGTCATTTATAAAACCACAGGTCAATGTCGTCTAGTTTTCCTTCTTAAAACAATAAAAATAGTTTCATTCGCTTAAATTTAAACTCGAGTTCCAAAGTTAAATTTTATTGTGTTTAGGATCCAAACATTAGACATCTTGGTGTTTATGTTTTGTGAATGTTAGCTATGTCTGTAAGTAAAACGTGGACCGTTCTTTTGGTAAGATACATTGCACTGAACCACATAATTATAATGCTTATTATTGTACGTGAAATCATAAGTGATTCTCAGTCGTATGACTTTCACGTTTTGTGTTAAACTGCTGAGCTTACTTTAAATAAATGAATGTTATTGTATGGTCATTTCACATCAAGTTGTTCGTGACTTGAACAACCGTCTGACAAAATACCGACTGTTTTAGATCGTAAATCACTATGGAATCATCGCTTCACCAAAGTCTCTATATGCACCCTGTTGATTAGTACCAAACAACACAAAAGAGCCGTAATTCTTCGATAGGTGATAGGTTGCTACAATGCAAATAACATTAGTAACACTATTGTTGCTTATAATTTCAATTAACTTAGAATAGTTGAGCTATTTGATTTGTCGCTGCTATTTAGATGGGTTATTTTTATATCATTAATTAGTTGACATAGAATAGATTATCATCAACATATGCAAACACCACCTTATGGGGAACAAAGCAACAATGTTCATTACGTTTAATAGAATAATTATGTTTATTTTTACTAAAATTTTTTCCATAGAGCATTTGTTTAATTTACTAACCGTGTGCTCTATCACAAATCTTTTGGTGCATAAAATGTAGTACAATATATTCAACCTTTGAGTTGATGACATTATAAACTGCTGGAACTTTCCTAAATAGGTTGGAGTGATTTTTCGGTACTTCGTATTTTTGAATTTACAGTTGATTGACCACTAAATGGTGACCAGTGTCACTTTTATTTAGTACATTAATATTGACTGAATCCTATCGATCGATTAGTAATATGATCCACAGATTAGTTGATTTAACATCGCATGATTTATGTTTCTATATAGTCCAAATTGCATAGCGGTTACGTTTCAAACAATAGAACTAGACGATATCTAGTTTTAAATCTCACTTCCTTCATGATTATGGATGTATACCTTAGTGAAGAAAACAATGTCAAGTAGGGCTTCCTGTTAACTTCCTCCAACTACATAACATTACTTATCAATGTAATAGTGGCTTAATGTATCTTTAAATTATTGGTTGATTGCATCTCACCTGGTCCGATTTTTATTACTAGTTCACTAGACATCAGATAAATTACGTTTCTGAAATCTGAACACATGCTTCTATACGTGATTAGTGGTAAGTTAAATCTTTAAACAGTTCTCTAGCTTAAATTAATTCTATTTACTCAATATTCCTATTCATAGATATTCATTAATTATCATATTTTATAATAAATTTTTAGCACCACTTCGAATGTCTCCTACAGCTTTATTTGGTTATCCAACAATTGGTTATGGAAATCCTCCACCTGTACAACATAGTCATTTAACACCAACTCGAGGTATACAACCAATACCTTTAACTGAAACTAGTTCATCATCAATTTGCAGCAATTCATCAAATTTACCATCATTATTTACATCACCAACTGGATTAACTGCTAATATTGCTACATTAGCTGCTCTTTCCGCTGCGATTACAGTATCAGGTGTACCAACTGTAACAAATACAATTACAACAAATGTAACAATTAATTGTACAAAATCTTTACCAATTCTTTCAAATCCTAATCCACTTGGTACTGGTTCAACTGGTGCTTTATTTAATTTATTACCTTGTTCTCAGTTATCATCATTTAATGTTACACCAATTGTACCACATGTAGTTGTATCGAATGATTCAATTACAATGTCATTACCTAATTTATCATCAAATCCATTTTTATTATCACTTACAGAAGGTGATATAAATCAACCTAATATACAACAACAATCATCTTTAGCTCCTAGTATAAATTCATCGGCACAAGTTACCGCTTTACCATCTTCATCAACATTAATTGGATTTCATGGATTACAATATAATTCAGGATCAAATATCATTACACCTATGGGAAATTATGTTGCATACAGACGTGTTATATCTGTAGGTTTTTTAACAAAAAAAACCGTTTTGGTATTTACTATTATGTGAAATGTTATGTCGACTTATTTACTGTGTTAAATTAATGTCTGGCTTTTTCTTTAGTCGAGATTATGTCATTCATTATATATACAGTTCTGATAATTCGATTATATTTGATGTTGTTTTCATTCTAAATTATCACATTATGTTGTATTTTAGTCATTCCATATGAAATTGATAACCTTTACATTTGGTACTAGCAATTATGTACGGCTTTTCATCAGGTTGGAAAATCCTAGTGAGAAATATTGGCGGTTTTAAGTGTGTGATAACAGAAAGAATATTGTAGAAATTTGGACTGGTTTTTCGAACTATTATTAATTATAATTTCGATATATAAGTACTGAGTAAAAAGATTTACTATTTCTAATTTATCAAAAGTCTTTTACTCACCGTCTCCTCTATTCACAACCACTTTTGACTTATTTATATATAAGTGTTATTTTATGGTGTGTGATGCAGTATGGTATGTCTGCGCGTAAACTATTTCTGTTTGTAATATAAATATAGTAGAGACTGATTGCTACTTCTAGACTCAAGGCAGAGCATAGAAAGAAACTAGCAAAAAGTAAACCAATAGAAACCCAGTTGTCGGTTCAAGATCAGTAGTGCTGGTTTGACGTGTAATTGGTCAGTATGGGGACACTGGGCTGTCAATGAAATAGTTTGCACGAAATATACTGAATTCTAACTCTGATTGGTGGCTTGGCATGTGACATTAGTCAGGAGTTGTAGAACATAATAAGTTCAGATAAGTATGTTGATTATAGGTTTTATACTTGATAATTTCGATTAAAAACCAGTTACAACTTCTACAATATTCTTGGAGTCTTAACAAAACTATGTTCCATGATCTTCAAAATGTATTCTGGAACGTTATTGTTTTATAAAAGGTTTTACGCGTTAAAAATATATGTAGCATTACAAACATGCCCAAAGTCCCTTGGGTGTTACGTAACAATAAGGAGTATGAAAATGGGGTGAAACACATGGACAAAGATTTCTGAATTTCATCTTCTTTATTAATCTATTTGTACGAAAATGTTTTCAATCCATCAATATTATTATTATTACTCACGATGATTGTATATGCGTACAATTAATGCATTTCTGTTTAATCTTTAAATGTTTCAGGTTCCAGAAAGTGTGATCAATATAATCCTTGGTCATCAAGGTCGATCTATTATGGATTTACAATTATTTACTGGTACTGTCATACAAATATCTCAGAAAAGCACTTATTTATCTGGTACACAATATCGTACTGTCACAATAATTGGACCACAAGTCAATGTACAATCAGCAGCTGATGTAATTGAGCATATAGCAGCTATTGAGCATATGAAACGAGAATCTGGTTCATATCAACAACATTCATTATCGTTATCACTTCCTGGCAATGGTAGTAGTAGTACTGTTGGGCGTCCATGTAGTGTTAGTGGTGGTCAACTAAATTCAGATTATTTTATACAGTCTGGAACATCACATCCATCCGCCTCATTTTCATCATCTTGCATTAAAGGAAACTATTTAGAATGTCAGTCAACATGTCCAGCATCGAATACTGGTATATCATGTCCGATAAGTATGATTAGTTCACTTCCTTTGACTACTTGTATAACTACTGTTAATACTGCTAATAGTAGTAGTGGTAATAATATTATTATTACTGGTTTGTCTTTTCCATCGTCGTCTTGTGATACTGCTGCTTCTGCTTCAAGAAGATCTGGAGGAGGGAGTGCTGGTGTTAGTGGTTCTGGCGATTCACTATCTTTTCAAAGTTCAATCGACTCAGTATCTATGCCTGTAACTAAACGTGATGAAACACACTAGTTTATTCATATTAATACCAGCGAATCATTAAAATGTAACAAAATAATTCTATCACGATTAACACTACTTATAATCGTAGTGGTAGTAGTAATTACTGTTGTAGAGTATTAGAAGTAGTGTTTTGTTGTTGTTGAAAGAATAGCAGTTAACACCGGTGGAATGTTAATAACATAAAGCTAGACGATCCCACTTGAATTGATAAACTAAATCACACACACAAACACAATTTATATGATTTCAGCTTTACACTCTATTCGTCTTTCAATGAACACAAAAAGAAAACTAGTTGATTTTATTTGTTTATCTATTTATTTATGTAATAAACTTATTTTTCTGTTTTACTTTTTTGGGTGTGCATATATATGTGTGTATTATGTAATAATGACAATGATGGACAATTTTATTGATTTTAACTTCTACATAATTTGGTGTCCTTTTGATTATTTAATGCCTTTGGTTCCTTCACTCCGTCCCCTTCGCCCATAGTCTATACATATATATTCGTATATGTGCATAACCGGACGTTTATTTTTTGTATCCCATTTGTCTTGGGTGTTTCAGAGGTTACATTCATTATTGCATAATTTTTTCTCTTGAAGGTTAATAATTCTCATAGCGCCATTTTATATATTTATGACTTTTATGACCCTTCTAATTAAGATTATTTATTACTATGGTTATTATTTATTATTTTTGGTTTTACATAAGTAAAACTATTATCTATTATATATCGTTGAATATTGATTTTTTGTTTGTTTTCCTCATTCTCATTTTATTTATTTATTTGTCATTGACGGGCCGTTTTTTTTTCATTTTGTGGATGGGAAATTGTTTTTCTTTTTAACTGAATTATTCTATATTTATTGATCATTAAAAGATTTACCTTATCCTTATTTGAAGTTCCATGGTCTTATGAATCCAATTCTTATTATTATTCGGTCATAGATATCTGTGTTTAATGATATAGTTGTTATGATATTTCTAAAACTATTGTCAATGTCATTTAGTGAACATTGACTGGGTTTTTTTTAACCTAACCGCCATAATACTACTGAACAATTGCTTTTCTTTTACATTCTTTTTTAAATCTATTAACCTTAGTTTTATGTTTTTGTTTTCGAAATAAATCAATGTAGTTTTAAGATAACCATAACGTTATCTTCATTCGTTTCTCTTGATATGAATGCTAATTATATGTATACAAAAAAAAGGAAAGGTAACTGTCAATGTTTGATTGTTATTCTTTAATTGGTTTTCTTTTCTCATTGTGTTTATGCTACTATACATCAATTGGAATATAGAATTGTTTATATACTTTACTAATAGTGACATTGTGTGACTAATTTCTTTATTGGACAACTATATTCAATATTTATCGTTACCAAATGATGTAATCTGTTTATTTAATGTTTAATATGTAGATAGATAAATCATTTGTCTTTTGCTGAGATTATTATTCATGGTTTCATATTGTCAATTTCATCATATAAAATTATCCGGTGTATTTTTTTCCTTCTTTGTTATTTAGATTTGTTATCTTTTCTCTCTTTTTTTTCAGTGCTATTTATGATTCAATCTTTATGTATAACTCTATTTGTATAGTGAATTGTTTATATATGAGCAGTGTCTGAAAGATCTTTATGTATTATGTAAGTGTACGTGTGTATTTATGTTCACATGGTAGTATATATACTGCTGTCCAGTTGCTCGTTGTTGTTTTTTTAGATCAATAAATTTCATTAGTGGCCACCCATCAGTGATAATTTCATTTAATTGTCCTTAATTGTATACATGCACTGTGTTATGTAAATGGAACATTTGTATTCAGTGTAATTTCCTTCTTACATCTGTGGTAAGCACAAGTCTATAGCTTCAAAAATAAAATGGTTGTATTTTTCTACTGAATGCACTTTTACTACTGTTTATTTAGAAAGTAGTATAACTTGCTTAGCAAAAGTATTCTGTTTTTATGTTTATGTAGTTCCCGTTGGTTTCGTATTATCTTAATTAAGAAAGAAAATGAATATTCTTTTTGATTAACACAAATCTTATACAAAAATCACATCTCATAAACTATCTATTGATGGAGAGTAATACTGACTATATTTCTTGTCCCGGTTCTTTTGCATTGTTATTCTTTATATCAATATTTATGGTACTCCATAATCTGCTGTGAATTTATAAATTTCTTTGTTTGTTTATCTGTTTTTTTTCATTGTAAAATAGATGCCTACCTACTTTTAGTTCTATTTCCATCATGAACTTTATGGAATAATTCCTCATCACTCATAGGCTACAGAATCTTTCTCTTCGATTTCTTTTTTTGTTGCAAACTATCTAAGAAGTTTTCATTTCTTCTTTGTTTTTCTTAAACATTTTTTTTTCTTAATTTAAAACTATTCTAATGATATTACAATACAATGAAAGAATGTCCCTTATCTTCATTACTCTATTCAGTTGTGTTTTTTTTTTTAATTTGATTTTATATAAATAATTTGTAGGAAATGAACTGCTTACTGAAACGTTTTCTTTTTTGTTGTCAATTCGATTTCATTAATTCATCTTGATGTGAATAGATATTTGTTTATTGTGTAGTTGTATTAATGATCAATTGTTTTTGTTATTATTATTATTGTCTTATACAAAATACAGATTAATGTTCTAGTTTGATAAACATTTTGTTGATATGGTGATTATTACTGATTGTGAATTATAGTCAATAATTGTCAATGATATACAGTGTCAGAGATGTTAATGTTTCTTTTTTATTTCTTCTATATATATATATGGTACTTTATTATCAGATTCATATCCAAAAGAAAAACAATAAATAGAGAAAAAAATGTATGTTCACTTTACAATTATGTACTGTCTATCATGAAGAAAGTGTTTTGAAAGAAAGTAGATTGTTATAATATAAACACTTTTTTCTTTTGTTTCTTCAGTTCAATAAATTACATTATGAGATGATGGAGAAGATTTGTAACTCAAGTGGATGATTTCGATGGAGTTTTGTTCTTTGAGCTGGATGGTTTGGTCGTGGAGCTTTCATCGTTCTTCTGAACGACATCATCAGCACAAACTTCAGATAGGAGTGAAGTGTTCAAATTTCTCCATATGCATTTCATAGCTAGTTCTGTACACCTCGAACGTTGATTGGTTCTTATTGACCTTAAATTTATCATTGTTTTGGTTGTGTTTCCCATAGGTTTGATTTTTGCTTTTATATTTGTGCATAATTTTCCTGATTGATTGATAAATTGGATCGATTTCAATGTGCTTGTTGATTGCTGACTGACCTGAGTGCCAGGCTTCTAAAAATTCTCTGATGTTTTTGGAATTTCCTCTGTCCAAGATTTCCACAATTTTCCAATCGAATGAGTGTCCGCAGTTGTCCACGTGTATTGATATAAGTGAAGAGATATCATGCCGTTTGACTGCTAATTGACGTTCATGTAGCCGAAGGTTAAGAGGGCATCCACTTTGTCCGATGTAGTGTTTTTCGCAGTTGGCACAATTTATTTTGTATATGATGTTTGATCTGCTTTCCTTTGTTATTTCATCCTTTGGTTTGCATAGGATCGATTGTAGTGATTTTGTTGGTTTGTGTGCCACACCTATCCCGATGATTTTCATCAGTCTCGTTGCGGTTTCTGATGTGCCTTTTATGTATTGTAGGGCGATCTTTTTGTTGATTTCTGTGCTTAACTCAGGTTCTGATGCTGCGTGCGGTTGGTATTTTTTGATGAAGTTGATTGGGCTTTTTTGAAATACATTCTTTAGGTATTTCTCTTCATTTTTTCGTGCTGCAAAAAAATTATACACAAATATAAGAACAAAAATCAAACCTATGGGAAACACAACCAAAACAATGATAAATTTAAGGTCAATAAGAACCAATCAATGTTCGAGGTGTACAGAACTAGCTGTGAAACGCATATGGAGAAATTTGAACACTTCACTCCTATCTGAAGTTTGTGCCGATAATGTCGTTCAGAAAAACGATGAAAGCTCCACGAACAGCTCAGAGAAAAAAACTCCATCAAAATTACATTATTGTTGTGACTTTAAATGCAGCTTTTTATCGTGTAGTTTATTCGTCAATCGAAATACGATTTATTCAATCTTAGTACTGTACTTAACCAATAACGTTCAACCAGTGTGATCAGCCTAGTGAATATCACATAATGGAGATTTTAAAATACACAAATTTAGTTACATAGTACTAAGAAAATGTTAGTAGTATATGTTAGCAGAAATTTTTATTCATTAAAACAAGTTAATCTTTTCATCTACCTACTTTATTAGGAAATTTTCCAATGCATTGAGTGTGCAAAGTCTACCTTACATTTACTGAATTTCTTTCTTCCTTGATCTTCTTTTCTATCATCTTATGTTATCACTAGTCTCAGTAGTCCATATGTTATTATCAATCGTTTCCGGAACTTGTCACGTATAGGGTTTCTACAATTTAATAGAACTACTGATTACAAACAATTACACTTTCTTTGAATTTTTGGTTTATTTTCATATGCGTAGTTGCGTTTGTTTACAATTTTTACTATCAAAACTTTATTTATACTAAAAAACCTCTCTAATTCAAATCTATAAATTAGAGGATAGTACAAAGCTGTGTTAAACAGATATTAACAATTTGTAAAGTAAATGAACAGTCACAATATAATTCTCATGCAATTTTTTGAATTACACTCATTCATTTGGACTGATTCTTTAAGGAAATCATATACTCCATGGTACCTCACGATTAGACATTTGTAAACTTTCTTGCTTATTCCCAATATAGGTGGTTTGTATAGGTTGTTGAATCTTGTAGTTTACATTATGAACTGACATTAGTTGGACAATCATCAGAGACCAGGAAACACTGGACAAGAATCTCGTACTACTATGGAACTTTTCAGTAATGTTCACCTACACTTTATTGGGGATCGAACTCAGAATTATCAAGTTTCTCAGCTAATGCTTATTATTCAGATCAGTTTATTGGTATTCACTGGCTTGTATTCTCATATTTAATTTTATTTTATTCATTGGTAATGTTGTGACTTTAATGCCGGCTAATTATCACGTGATTTACTCGCTAGTCGAAATACGACTTATACAATCTTAGTACTGTGCTAAACCAATGACGTTCGACCAGTCTGATCAGTCTAGTGTCCTTATTGGTCCTTTGCTCGCTTAGCCCGTCCAGTTGAGTCTAAAACACCAATATTAGCTTCCACTATGCGAATCATTTATTTGAGATATACTTGGTTTATATAGTAGCCAAACAGACCACATCACATTATGAAATAGAAAATGACATTTATACAAAATCAAACCAAAAAGTGACTATGAATGTGTGAGATTGTAACCAATAAACTGAACATATATTATGAACAGTAAATCGTATAATAATGGTCTATAGGTCAAAATGAAGCTTATAATAAGGAGAATATAGATATACATAATATAGTTAATGAATAGTTATACCATAAGAATATATACATAATATTAGTCCATTAATAGGTCTGTGAAATTACTCGTAGTTTAATCTTCTCTAGGATATAGCAATTATGATGTCTAAGAATACAGTCAATTTCGGTACGAGTTAAAATTCAACTTATTAAATAAATTGTTATGACCTTGGATGCCTGCCTTTTTCTATTACGCGACTTATCCACCAATCCGAATACGACTTATACGAATCTTCACACTAGGCCAACCAATGACGTTCAACCGGTGTGGGCAGTTTAGCGTCCTTATTGGTCCTATGTCCTCCGAGCCCTTCCACTTGAGTCCAGAACACAAATACCAGCTTCGAACCAGAGCAGATCGTTTATTTCAAACATACTCGGTTTATATATCAACCAGACAGACCACAACGTACCATAAATTAGAAAATAACATGTGTACAGAAATAAGCCAAAAAGTGGGTGTGAACGAGGGAGATAGTAATTAATAGACTGAACATAGATTAAGAACCGTAAATCGTATAATAATAAATTATAGGTCAAAATAAAGCTTATAATAAAAGGAATATAAATATACATAATGTAATTGTTGAATAATTATACAATAAGAACATTTATAGAATATTAGTCTATTAACAGTCTTCGGAAGTTGCCTATAACTTAATCTTCACTGGGTTATAACATAAATGTCAATTCATTTACTAGGATTTATGTTCATATTAATTAGTGAAAATAATAATAACTAGTTCAAGTTTTTTTTCTAGGTTTTTAGTCACTCTGTGAAACAGCAAGCCACATGACTACTTTTTTTTCCAAATTATGAGGATGTAAGAAATAATAGAAGAGAGGGGATTATTTTTAAAATATAAAATAATGATAATAACTTCAATCCATATGTAATGTTTGTATGAATCTTCCCCATTGATTTCTAGGACTGTAGTACAGCAGTCACTTTTAGCATATGTGCATCGTGTGTGGATGGCCATAATATTGCTAATGAGTCACAAGGACTTTGAGGAGTGATTGATGATATGGCTAACAGTGAAATTAAGGACATGCGTTTCGTCCCACTTAGAACTTGTCAAATGGACATACATGCATCCTAGATTCGATGTCGGCGTTTGGAACAAAACGTACTGAGTTCGATCTCCGGAGTGAACATAAAATATTGGATGCATTTACATCCAGCTGATGGGTCTCAGATATGATTAAACATGCATCCTTGATTACACTGCTACCGTCATCCAATTCTGTCTAATATTGATATTACTTTAAGGCTATGGCAAAGATAACGATAAGACATACTTCTTTTGTACCCACAGTTCTGGCTTCATCTCATGGGAGGCTAAAGCTTTTTTTGTTTTAAGTAGTTGGATACGAAGAAATCTTGGTAGAGTTGATCGAATTCAAAATTAATTTGTAGATCAATGGAGTGGTTTCACAAGTGCAACTTCTGACTGCTTTTCTCTCATCCTTGCAGTGCCAAACTGGGATATGTTCTTGTATTTGAAACAGCAAGCGCTGACTACGGACAATGTACCTTGCTTCACTAGAGCAAGTGAACTGATAATTGATGATCGATCTAAGTTAGTTGTTTTCTAGCTTAGATATGAAACAGTCTGCTAAGATTGGACCCAGTGAACAACTCATTACAGTTCCATCTATTTGAAATTTAGCCGCTAAAATTATAATTTTATATTCATTTAATGATTTCATTCGACGTGAATTCATTTAAAGTTATCAGTTTCAATATGATGAAGTTGCATTCACTTAAAAATTTGTTTTAGTTTCAAAAACTGACAGGAATGTTCCTTCGGATCATTTTTAAAAAAAATATTGTGATACTGTGTGTTTGTTCAGATATAAGACTTGTCTCGTTTATGCGTTTAAACATTTTTTAATAATTAAATTGGGTGGTACGACCACCAATATAAAACGTATGTCATACATCAGTAAGCTTGATTTGTAGAGGAGTTTCCAATATTTGGAAAGTTACGACTTAAATCATTTGATAGTGTATCGACATGTCACTAAATCATAGTAATTGCAACTAATAATACATTCCCATAATATCTGATTTCAAAGTAGTGGTTTGTTTTAAACAGAGATGGATGTTGGCTGACAGTGATTTCAAGGATGGGTGTTTCGCCCTATTTAGGACTTATCAGAGGGATGTACCTGTCCAGTTAATAGTCACTGATTCGTTCAACGAGATGAATTTTAATCCTTTTGTTTTGGTTGTATATGAAAAATACATTAGGGCTTGGAGCGAACGGTACTGGGTGTGAATCTCGGAGAAAACATCAACTCTACGATGCAGGTACATCCATCTGACGAGTTCTAAATAGAACGAAATGTATGTCCTTGAGTCCACTGATAGCTACCATTCATCTCAATAAAATGCTTGTAACTCACTGATAAGCGATATTGTCATTTTTAGAAAGAAACAAACAGATGTATCATTTATGACTAATTAGTATCATTACAATCCTTTTATTTATTCAACGTTCATTATCTACATTGAAGTGGGAATAGTATTGAGCAGATAGAAGTAGTCGAGTTTCTGTATCTGGGTACCTGCATAAGTGCTGGTGGTGGCGTGAGTGATGAGATCGATTCACGTGTAATGAAAGCCAGAGCGGCTTATGTTAATCTGGGCCATCTTTGGAGCCTTCGTAATGTTAGTCTGACTGTAAAAGGTCGGACCTATAAAGTGTCGGTGAGAGCAGTTTTGCTCTATGCTTGTGAAACCTGGCCTCTCTAAGTTGAGGATGTTAGACGACTCTCTGTGTTTGATCACCGTAGTCTTCACAGGATTGCCGACATCCAGTAGCAACCCCATGTCAGTAATGCAGAGGTTCGGCATCGTGTGTTCGGGCACAGAGGCGATAATGCAATTGGTGTCACCAACTTGAAACACCGACTTCGGTGGCTTTGACTTGTTCTACGAATGTCATTCCAGAGAATTCCACTTCTTGCATTATTTGCCGACTCTGGGAATGGTTGGAAAAAGCGGGGAGGTGGTCAGTGTATGGCATGGTGTCATGGTATGAAAGTTCCACAGGACTAGCTTCTGTTGATCCTTCACGACTCCCTGGTTGAGGTCCTAGAGATGGTGGAACATAGTGGGTAGAGACATTATCAGATGTGTCTCAGAATAAGAGCCGACGGCGATCCTGCTGTAACCCTCTTTTACTTTCTTCATAAAAAGTGATCGTACCTTCTTTAACTGGAATTCTTTTTGTTTCCCCTATTATTATTATTATTTCACTACCATACATTAATTTGTGGTGTTTATTGTTTTCTTTTTCTTTTTACACACACCTTACATTCTTTATTTCTTCCAATTCTCATTATTATTGTGTAGTGCATAATATATCTGGTACCCCGCCCCCTTATGTGTTCAAATAAATAAACATTCTCTACATACTTGTATACATTTATATTTATACACAAAATTAACTATTGTACAAGTAAACAAAACACAAACAATCTCATATATATTCAAGAACTGACATGATATATGATATAATATCTGTGCTAGAATTCATTGAATATAAAATTTCTCTAATTTCTTCCATTGTCATTAATTCCAATGATATTGAACATAATGATGATGACATTCTTGTCAATGTTTCATTACATATAGTTGATAGTTTATATAATATAGGACAATTATTCTCAATATATTCATGCAATACTTTATTATTATTCATATTTATAAGTGACAAGAATTTAAACAAACCTATAAATGTTTCAATATAACACATTGGTAAATTTTGTTTTAAATATTTCCAATAAATCAATTGAGATTTTAAATGATCATTTAATGAGTTTAAGATCTTGATCCAATAGAAATGATCTTTATTAGGATCACATATACCATTATTATTATTATTCATAATATTCATATTAATATATAATAAACGCATTACTTCCTTAGTACCTAATTCTAAAGTGAATACTTTAAATAGAAAATAATCAATAAAATGATTTAACATTTGATGATTAGATTGTTGTTGTTGTTGAAATAATGATATATTGAAATATTGTATAAAATTAGTTAAACACCAACATAATTCAATACCGCATATAGACCATGAACATCTAGATTGATAATACCAATGAATAAGTAATAAAAAATTATTCAATAATTGATTAGATAATATAACAGAATTAATAAAAGATGATCTGATCTCAATTCTATTATGATCACGATCCAGATGATCATAACATATACAACCAATAATACGTATGATATAAAATATACATTGTGATATCAATGATGGATAATTTAAATTTGAATAACAATAATATAAACATTTACCTAAATATAATAAACATTGAATAAGATTTAAATGAATTTTATTTAAATAAATTTTTAAATAAGAAATTTTAATTAAATTAAATAATAATTTTAATAAATCATAAAGAAATAATAATAAATTATCAGAAGAATTCAATGAACATTTTTTTATTTTTAAATATGGATCATCAGTCATTTGTTGATCTTGATTAAGAACATCGAAAACACTTTGATCTCTACAATAGAAAGAAAAACAAAAAAACTGATTTTGTTATTTTAGATGAAATAAATAATACAAATTGATTAGATGACATTTTAAGTTGATAAATGGTTGATCAGTTTTAATTGGATTATTGTTTAAGTCAGTGGTCTTGGGTGCTGTTAGAGGTATGAGGGCGGTTATCACTTCCCGGTTGCCCACACCGTGGAAGGGTTCTTCTGGAGGTACCTGAAAAGGAAATTGGATTAGAGGCGATCTTAGCGACCTGAGAGCGTGACCGCAGTGCCCAAGGGACAACTGCTTGAGGCCGGTCGCGCACGGCCTTTTCGTGGAAGGTTTTTGACGTGTTAGCTCCGTTCTTCAAAGAGCCTTACCGCCGGAGACGGAAATTCGTGAGGTAAGGCGAGGTGTGTATTTTTAGGGTCGACCTTTTCTAACCCCACCCCTCCTTGTGGGAAGGCAGCATCGCTGTCATGCTGGTTGTCTGAAGGAAACACCTTACTGCTGTCACACCTCTGTACAGTCAGCAGTACGACTTCGCCTTCGAACGTTAGGTTTGTTGCTTTTAGTCTTACCGCTCTTCAACCAACCTGTCTGACATGGTAGGACCTTGAGGAACGGTTGTTCCAGCCAGTATAGCTCGGTTGCTTCATCACAATAGGCAAGCCCGGCCACCATGTCAAGATAGCAACAACGGTCAGGATTAATGTCTAAAGAAATCTCTGTATGGATTAGAAAAGCTTGTTTGAATTTTTTCAATTTACATTAGCATTTATAGCGAAGATGGAATATTCGTCTATTAATTAAAGGAACGAGTATACTATATGACAGTTTGTTCTGTCTTACTTAATGGCTGCGAAACGTGGCCATTAAGCGTTGGAGATACTCGTAAACTACTAGTAGTTAAAGAGAGATGTCATAGAAATATTTCTCGTATCTGCTGGGATCACCGGGTAAGTAATAGTGAGGTTAGACGCAAGATATTAGGGAATGATGGTTAATCAGTTGATCAGGTTGTGAATCTTCACAAACTGATATGGTTGGGCCACGTGTTACGTATACCTAAACACTGATTACCATGACGCGTAATGCTCACTAGTGTAGAGGATGGTTGGAAGAAAGTTAGGGTGGCCAAACCAAAATGTGGCATCAGTCCACAAAGTCACCTACTTCTGGTCTGAGACATGTTGGTAGATCCAGACTACTTGGTTGAGGTCCGTGCGACCATCGTAACCAATCGTTGGAGACTCTGTGTGATAAGGCTCAGAATCCATCAAAATAGCGTAGATCTATACACTCGTTGTCTTCCTTTAAACTAATTCCTTCTTCCTGTACTATGTCCTTATACGCAATCTTTCTTTTATATATTACCATCACTGAACTAACCACTTCAATGAATTCGGTGTCCATCTTGTTGTGTTAATGAGGTATGGCAACTTGGACCGATGTACATATGTGCCCGGGGTCCTACGTTGTAGCTCAATGATTGACTGATCAACTTAAAATTTTAGAGTATTGGACATATTTTTCATTTTAGTCGTAGATACTTCATTGACGTAAAATCAAAGTATTGTATTCGCAATGAAATCTTAAGGTATTTAATTAGATATCATGAGGTGTCACAAGTACAAACTGCTAAGCAGTCTTTAAGCAAGACGAATGAGTTATTTTACATACCTTGTTTCTAGTCGGTTCACATCAAAAGATATATAAAACTTGACCTTTCACCTTTTTTTTCTACATATTTTGACACTAAACAAACGAACTCATATATGATTTTATGACATGTTTTGTAAGTTGGCTAGTGAAGTCGAATTGGGCGAAGTAACATTCAAAACCAATATTCAATGAATAAAAGACAAAAACTCAAACCTTTAAGCTACTTAATTAATTAAAAGGGGTTTCAATAATATTGATTCTCATTTACATCTGAAAACTACGTTTAAATTCAGTGAATTATTGATATAGTATCATAATATTCTTTCACTTATCTAACTGATTTCCATTAGATACTCGTTACAACATTCAACTGTATATGTAATATTACATTCCAAAAACAATCACATAGCTTACAAATACATTATTGAGTGGTGTATTTCCATTCAATTTGATTACTTAGAATCATTGAATAAACATTGAAATATTGATCTGAGTGATAACTTCATCTACTCATTTACCCATACTAATCCATACTAGTATAGAAGGTTGAAACATATATACCTACTTCTCTTTAATAGTTTATTGATGTTTTTTTGTTCTGTTTCCTTCTTACAGTTATTTGTTTATTGATCATATACTCATAATAACCTATCAATCACTCATCACTCATTCTTTTCCCATCTATTCTGCAATCAATAATCTGAAGAACATTGTAAAACAATGATTTCATTTACATATTTATATTCACTATGTATGTATTGTAATTTTTCAATGAGAATACAAAAGTATGCCAATAAATAAAAAAAAAGAAAACAAACAACCTATGGAAGCTTGATATTGTCACTGAGATCATACTTATTCATATATACAATTTACCGAGTTATTATAAAACATATACTTCTACAAACTAATGAGTCTTTATTGATTACTAGATAAATAAATAAACCATTTTATATTGATGATGTAATTTAAAGTGTCTAATATTTGGCAATGAATGTATTTAGACCACCATGGAAAACCTGGAAGCACTGGATGACCAACTCATCCTAGTATGGAACTCGTCAACAGTGCGTATCCACGATCCCGTCCCCCGCGAGATTCGAACCCAGAACCTATCAGTCTCGCGCACGAGCGCTTAACCATTAGATCACTGAGACGGCATCCAACATCCGTCCAGTGCTTCCAGGTTTACCATGGTGGTCTAGTTTCAATTGACTCATGATTTCAACTAGTGAAAGTACTAAAATTTCCACAAAGCCCCTTATGATAATGAATGTATTTGTTAAATATTTCAAAATAAAGAGAATTGTATGTATGAAATTTGAAAATAATCTGAATACATGATGTATAATAAAAAAAATAGAATAAGTTATAAGACTATGCAGTAGTTACTGTAGAAATCATATTGAAAAGAGTCACTTTTAGGAATGTTGCATGAACATCAGAACGCAATTACTGATAGTATGTAATTACGTTGTTGATAAATGTGATAAACATGATTGTTGTTCAATTGCATAATTGATGTAATGTGGTGTGCGAGCTTAATTTGAAGAAACACTCGCTGTTTATGAAAACTGCATCTGAAAAGTTAATTATTCGTTGAGCTTACCTGTTGCAGTTCATGGCATAACATTCTTTCACTCATACATCAACTCCTTGACCGAACACTAATATGTAACCTAAACTTCGTACCCAAACTTCTAACTAGAAGACACTTAACTATAAGTCATAGCCCTAATTCCTAATGCTAATTGTTAAGCCTACTGTTGATTCAAAAACCCAACTTGTAACCTCAATTCCTAACCGTAACTCCTGAATCTAACTCTGTCATTTACTGTGATAAATAATTCAAAATTAAAACCTTCATTAATCATGTCAAAATAACCTAGGTACATATTATTAGCAGTATACGTAACAAAGGAATTGATATGATAAGCTGATTCTCTCTAACAAATTTGACATAGTTCAGAAGCATAATCTCAGTAACATATTTAATTTAGATATTGCTCTTCTATTTTTCTCAATATAATATCAGGAACTGACCACATCTAAAGAATGATTGTTTCATTTTAGTGTAAGATTCCCAAGGGGGATCTCTCCAGGCTTCGCTATGAGGTCTTAGCCTATAAACCAGTAAGTTGACTTTCAATGACTCTCATTTCTGACATCAATCAATTCACACGATCGCGCGACCATTACCCATTGTCACTGGTGGGTAGCTTACTCATTATTGGGATGATTGAACCCTACTACTCAGGCTTCTTACTAGAACTCCAGGAATTACCTCTCGAAATTAGCCACTAGTGAGTACATGCTTATTACTATACACAAGAGGGATATGGAGATTTTGAAATCATAGTAAGATTCTAGAACCTTCCAGAAGTCCAAAGTTATATGGAATATTATAAATAGCCTGAATTTGCTGTACATAAACTAAGCTTGGAGTAAGACGTTCTTTGTTATATTTTGCGCCTTTTCTCTCGTATTCAAATTGTCGTGTCGAGTCAACCTGGGATTTATTAGAAGAGCTTAGGAAACCGATTCTAGCGTTCAGTCAGAAGATTTATCATATATATATATATATATATATTCATCAAAATATTGACGGAAACACATAATCAAATACTAGCCGTTCTAATTATTTATTAGCTAATAGATATGAATCAAAGCGGGTGTTCAATAGCATTATGATAACATGAAGAAATAATAATGGTCACAATAAATGAAATATTCAAATAACAGAAATAGTCCAGAAAAATAATCAAAATGATAAGATCAAACAAAAATTAAGTAGCATTGATCCAGTGGTTGAAAGAAGAATAGATTAATGAAAAGAATTGACAGGTCAGAAATATGAGAGATAATTGTCCATATCTTTAAATTGATTTGCCCTTGTAGTGGAGGTTACATTGACCGCACAAAGCGAATACTTTAAAGATGCATCTCAAAACATTTCTAAAGGACGGAATGAGAGGTTATCACTATTTCAATACAGTAGCACATGATCAACTCGGGGAACGTTACTCCAGACTTGTCCTTTAAAATAATCTTTACGGTCAAAAGAATTGGAACAAATCAAAAACGAATGAAAAATCTATCCACTACTAACACGTTTGCGATCCATCAATTCAAGCCAGAATTATGCGTACAAAAGCGATACATCCAATCTCTCATCCTTCCTTTCACCTGATTCCCTTCCTCAGCATGTTAAGTTCTTAATCTTATTCTTATTATTTTATACTTTTTCAAACTGTAATTAGTTATCATTACCTTCTGATATTTTTAATGATCATTATTCAATAACCATTATGACCTTTGTGTTTGTTTGCAATTTAAGTGGACAATTATCTCCCATTTTTTTTACTTGTAATTAATTTTTTATGAGGTAGTATTGAATTAGTCAATAAAATTAACCTCTTGCTCATTAAAACTTACATTAAATTATTTGTGCATGCAGGACACAACCAAACTTTCCCGACAGCCAAACATAAATTCATGAATCCATATTGTATTATGGCAAGAAATTTGTCCACTTCTTGTATTCTAATTTTATCATCCGATGATGATGTTGTTGTTGAGGATAACAGCACTTGTACTGATGGCAATCTCATTAGAATTATTGTTAAAAGATTCAAATGTGATGATAAAATGTCCAAATTGAGAGAGTCGTCAGCATCAGTAATGTGTTTGCTTAACTGTTTCAATAATTCATATGTGCCGAAATTAGATGATTCAACTAGGAAGACCTTGGGTAGTAATCGATGAAGAACCTGATAAAAATATAGGATGAAAGATATTAATATCAAGAATAACGAATTATTAGTATCTTTTGATGTTACCGCTTTATTTGCTCTCAATCAAATAAAGTCAGGGAAGAAAACCATATGCCTAATGCTACCCAGTTGTACTGTCAAATGCGCTAACACGATCTGTTATTTCTCTCCCACTCTGTTTTTAGTGCACGTCATAATACTACTTACTAATATTCAGTAACTAATTTATTATTTACCATTTTGAAGAAAACATTTCACAATATCCCTTTGTTGTTCCGTTGTATATCTAAATATTTAAATCAACCTATAACAGCCAATTTATTTTTGTGTTAACTGTATTTGCCTTCATATTAAACAGTAACTTTATCTGTACTAATTTTGATAATTTATACGCATAATACTCATTTCGATTGTTTATTGCCATTGTGTTATTGACACTGCAACTAACTATCATTTAGTTTATTGTGTTTTTCTGTAGAGAAATCGTATATGTAACTATTGTTAGAAGTATTTCATTTCTGGTTATAAATTGCACCACAGTTTCCATAGTAGGTACTTCACGAATTGAGGTTTCTCAATTCATTGCTTATATTGTTATTAGTAATAGTATCGTATTTGAAATAAATTTTGTATTTTGATTCCAGGATTTTCACACATTACAACACTATCATTTAGTCAAAAGAATCAAAGTAATTTAAAACATACAAAACTACAATGTCAAAATTCACTAGAACTTATAGGGTGAGATTATAATTTATGAACGACCTTTGAGCGAAGCTGAAGTGATCTTAAGAATGGACATCTACAAATTAGGACTAAATGAGGATTATAAACCAGCTAGAATTTTGATTTACGGTTGATGGTTAAGATTAAAAATCAGATATAGGATTTTCATCATGAACTGATGTCAGCTATAATGCCAAAGCTCTATTTAGTCAAATGTATGAATGAATTTCGCGCCAAAATTCATTACTCGTTATCTTATATCTGACTGGTTCGTCCATAAATTATAGTCTCGCCACTTATAGATTTCCACTTAACAACATATTTTCAATTCAATAATAAAGACGAAAGAAGCTGCAAAAAAATTCATCAAGCACCATTGACAGGTATAAGGCCACTGAAAGTCTTAGTCTGATCAGTGATCAAGACGAAAATGTGTATCTAGTGTAAACGAAATATTCATCATTATTTAAAAGAAAGAGCTGGAAAGTGCCTAATATATAACCAACAGCTTCTTTGAGAGGATAAATTCATATTCTGCTGAAAGACATACGGATAGATCCAATCTGTATTGTGTAGGCATTAGCTATGGGCTATATAAAGCCAGATATGTGTGTATATAAACAGTATGTAAATTCTTTATTTATTGTTATGACTCTGGTCTCCTATGCATTTCATTAGTTTCTACTTAGTTTTTTTCCCATCTTACTGGAATCATGTTGGGTAAGATTACCTAAATTGCTTACCCCGATTAGTGTTTTTTTAGCAGGGTCGTTTTCCACGGAATGGGGTTGCTGACCCCATACCCAACCTTCCTCATTTAACAATACTAGGGACCGGCAGTAATCCTAGGAGAGCTAAAGGCAGAGTTGAAGAGGAAATTAGGGAACGACGCTGGAGGTGGATAGGACATACATTACGGAAATCATCAAACTGTATCACGAAGCAAGCCCTAACTTGGAATCCTGAAGGAAAAAGGAAAAGACCAAAGAAAACATAGTAGGGAATTAAAAGCAGACATCAAAAGAATGAATAGCAACTGGAAACAACCATAAAGGATTACCTAAGACAGAATTCGATGGAGAATCCTGGTGGACAATCTACGCTCCATGAGGAGTAAGAGGTTTAAGTAACTAAGATTATCTAAGTACTGGAATTTTTCCTATCTAAAACTTTGAATACACATTGCTGATTGAACCTAAAACTAACCAGTTATCTAGAGTTACTTAGCTTGTAATAGTTTCTTAACTGATAAAAAAATGATGAAAACGATCATTTTATTCATTGTGTGCAGATTATGAGCAGTGATTAGGAAAAAGCAATAGAACCGTAAAGAACCTGAAAATCTGTCTTGGGAATCGCCGTCATTAAGCACCCAGTCTACTCTCAAGCTTTCATGATTATAGTCTAAAACCAGATGTTACCAATCATCATCATCGATCCAAAACGCTAATGAGTCAATAGTTATGCCACTTTCTTAGTGTACTTATGTTCATTTTACACGACTACTTAAACGAAACCATTTGGTTATAAAACGGATAATTATTAAGGCATGTACTCTGACGACAATACTGTAATCTAAAATAGTAAGTTTTGGTTAGGTGTTTTGTTTGTATTATATGATTGCCCCTTACAGCCAAACAAGTTGGTGAAGCTTAGTACGTCCTTCTGGTGAGAAACAGGCAACATCGAAGCACGGCACAACTACCGGGGCTAGAAAAGTTGTTTTTGCAATCCGTTGAAGTTTGTTCTTTGAAGAGAAACTCCGTGTGATACATGTCCGCGTCGTGCCTCCTGGATAGTAGGACGAATGACTCATGAACTAACGTGAGCGGTAACCCGGGTGGTGGAGATCGGGCTAATCACCCACTCTTACCGGTACCCACAATCTAATTATGAAATTCACGGAGAAACACAGCACAATTACACTTGGATTGGAAAACGAAAAAAAATTATATGATTAACATTTTCAACACCCTTGTGGTAAACGTCCAATCAAAACAAAATATGAATCACGTCTCTTTAAATAATGTACCCTTATATATGTACTATACTATACCATACTACTATATAAAATACTTACATGAATAACATGAGAAAACAACAACAATCTTTCCATCCAAACATTTTGTTCATAATTCACGCATAAATTTGGATAATAAATAAATGTTGCTTTCAATAGTCCAGTTAAAGCTTGAGTTGACCAAATTGTAATTTGGCCTAGATTCGATGAACTTGAAAAGATGACAAGTGGACCAGCGGTGATATGAATCAAATTTTGTAAGGCAGATTGACAGTCATCGAATTTTGAACTAGATTTAGATAAATTAAAGTAAAATAAGAATATAACAGTTATTATGATTCTGAATACACACTAGTTCACTTAGTAAACAATATATCATATCGAAACAGTGTTACTTAATAAATGATAACTATTATCCAGTGAATATTGCATATCTCATATAAGTACTGTTGAGAAATCAAATTGATCTTAGACACAGCAAGTACAAATGATTCCTTCAATGTTAAAATGCAAAATTAATTAACTCTAAACCTGATCACATAAACAGATACATAAAATTAACGAAAACCAGCTAAACTACTCTTAAAACCTTATGAGTAGTAAAAGTTAAAGATAAAAATGTTATGTAAAACGCTAATGAGTAGATAAGAGAATAGCTAGAGCCAGAAAATTAGAGGTTAAGATCATTGTATAAAAAGGAGTTGAATATGTTTCGTTTGTATACATAGTTGTAGCTTTTCTTAATGAGTAGGAAATGTTTCATCAACGCTAAGAACATGAAAGCACAATATCTTTGTCAAATTTCATTTCACTTTGTAGATGACTTTGAAATTCCTATCCATTGAACAACCCATGTTCACAAAATATTTGATTACAGAGTTCGATTATTGCTGAAAATCACATCTCGTAAATAAATTTCTTAACATACTGGAATTAGTTGGAGAGGAACTGAGACCGAGTGGACACTGAACTGCTACCTCATGTTAATCTGAGAATTCAGGAAAGTACATCCAAAACGTGAAATTTCCGCAGTAAACACATCAGATCATATATATAATGTGATGAGCTTGAAGGGTGTTTCACATTTTACTGTATGACACAATATTGATGATCATGCTATATGGTCAATTGATTAAGGTTAAGAATGGTGACTCATTCACTTCAATTCAAACTATATATATGATATATATACCAGGACGAAACGGGCGTCCAGTGCTTCCAGGTTTTCAATGGTGGTCTAGCTTCAACTGACTCATGATTTCAAATTGTGATATATGATATTTATTTGACGAATATCTTAAGCACACTTCTATTTTTCTTGAATAATAATCCACTGATCTTAAGCTCCATACACCATAATTCTAAAATACTTTTCTCTCAATTTCAATGATCATGATGAATTTATCATTTTTCATTTCGTTGAAATCTATATGAAGATCTATTCAAGTGGAAGTTCATGTTCGTCACAGATGAATATCAGATAATTAAAATAACCTGTTATGTTATTGAATCCAAAATGAAAAGAATTTTCAACGAAGAAATTTTTCCTTTCGACGAAATCATTTATTTTGTATTCAAAAAACGATACGTCCAATCTCTTATCCTTCTTTAGCACTAATTCCATTTTGTAGTATGTTTTGTTTCCTAATCCGTGTTCTGTAAATTTAAACCGTAATCAGTCATTATTATCCTTTAGCAATTTTTAATGATTATTATTATGACTTTTGTGTTTTTCGTTGTTTTTTCATTTCTGTCAGACGGACAATTCGCAAGGTTTGAAGCGGTTACGAGTTTACCTAATCTACGGACGGAACAAAGACTCAGTGACAAAAGACCAATAAACTAGCTATTCGATGCGTTCCAGTTCCGCTAACTAGAGGAAGAAGTCCAAGCTTGGAATGACGAAGTATATTCCGAAAAAGCCAGAAGCACGAGAGATAACAACAGATGCAAATTAAAACGTATATATACAGCACAAAACCGTCCTTGGGGAGAGTTACAAAATAACGTACTAAAAAACACAACGGACCAATGGCATTTAAAACTCTACCAAGTGGGTAATATGACATGAAGGTGAGAAGAGCGCTTTCAGCGCTAAAACAAAAAAATTCAAATTTTCTAAATAAAATTACAAAATTAGATATTCTTCCAAGTGAATTCTGTGGATCTAACGTCCCCTAACATAATTATCTTTCGTAATTCTGATCCGTTAATTATTTTCATCCTTGTATTCTTCTCTAATACCTTGATTATGACATAACCTCAATTGGATAGTTGGTGTCTTGAATCAATTTATGATGCAATCTTTTCTATTCTTCTATAAACAGATATTTACCATAAAATTACATTGCTGAATTCCCTTTATTTTTTATTAGATATCAGTTGATGTATTACTGAAAACCCACAAGACTAAAGAACTATTTTATTCAAATGTTGAAAGCCTCATATAATAATTCTTACGAAAAAATATATATTTAATCAAAAGTTAATCTGATAATCAAGTCTGAACTATTAATGACTAGTAAATAAGGTTTTTCTTTCTTTAAAAAAACAAAACAAAACAAAACCATTATCTTATTTATTGTTTACCACTAATATAGATTGAATAAGTTTTGTTAATTATTTTACTTTCTTTGAATATTACTACTCAATTATCTTAATCAGTAGATGGTATACATAATGAATTACAATGGATTGTTTACCTTATTCAATGTATTTTCATAAACAATAATCTCATAAACATTTAGTATTAATATATCATAACCAATAAATAATGAGAGTGATTACATGTTTTCAAGTTATATAATGGAGAAAATTAAGTGAGAAAAAAGAAGAAAAGAATGACACAATATAACAATTGATAGTGTTTTTTAATACATCAGTCCCATTTATAAATCTATCTTACTATCTATGTATTTATCCTAATTAATGAAATAGGCATGTATATTGGGTTTGCTTATATAGATACAAATAACTTAGATGAAATCTATGTATTACCACTTAGTTACACATTAGTTATATTGTATCTATATTTATTTTATAGAAAACGTCCATTAAAATGAACCTATAAACTATATTTATTATATAATCTTATCGTCAACTTATCTCTATGAATCTCAAAAATCTAAATTTATAAGTAAAAAAGTTTAATATAGAAGAATTTGTGAAGAATATAGAATTAATTCATTAATTGAATTTAGATTAATATTAGCATGGAGGAAGTATGAAAAAAAAGACTATTTCATTATAATATGGGACTCGTCAGCAATTTGCATTTATAACTACACATTTGAGAATCTAATCTAAAAACATTTAGTTTTGCACGAGAACGCTTAACTTCTAGATCATAGAACAAGCATTCAGTGATGTATATATATTATCTAAATTTAATCAAATCATGACATTGAACGAACATCTATCATTCTTGAAAGTATGATGTACTACTTTTGAAAAAGGCAATAGTATATTTACGGATTGATCAATCAAACAGTATATGTATACACAGCAGTCCAGTCATTCTAGGTATTCAATGATGATCTAACTAAGGTCAATTCATGACTCAAAGTATGAAACATTTTATTCATACAATTTTATACACCTTACCATTATTCACATGTTATCCATAGAAAAAACTGTACATCAGTTGCTTTAAATATGCTTTTTTTTATTAGTTCTTCAAGTTGTAGCAATCGAATTCTACATATTTAGATCTGGCAGAGAGCGTTTTGTTGCACTAAAACTATAATTTTTAAACACAATAATTAGCAGTTTTCTCGTTTTCAATGATCCTGCAAGTTATGTGAGCCTATGATGAGAAAAACTTTTCACACTGAAATATTCTCCATAATCTTCGCCATTGATTTATAGTTGTGTTTTCACCAGCGACTAAATTCCATATAAATTATTGAGGTCCCAGTAAGAACCTGTTGCCGATGAAGTTCAAATACATCGTAGAAAATGAGTGATTAAGCAGCATTACTGTATCAGGGATTGACTAAGTTTAGAAATGTGAATTGTTGAATGTAAAATAATTGCACTAATCATGAGATTTGAAGATGTGAGACTTGATTCATGGTTAAATCATGAATGGGTACAGGTGAGAAGTACCGAAAAATGATATTATACTGCGTTTTTAGATACCACGTTAAATTAGAAAAGATGAACTACGATTACATCCGATAGAAAACAGTTAGAAATAAAGACACCGATAATCGAAATTCAATGCCTTTGAACATCCAGATTATTCATTATTATAAAGATTCGCATTTCCATATAGAAAGTATATTTTAATTTCAATAGTTGAGATCATGGGTCAATTGAAGTTAGACCACTATGGGAAACCTGAAAGCACTGGACGGCCGTTTCGTCCCCATTTAGCGTATACTTCATGAACAGAACTTCATCCACTATTCTTTTGTCAAAGTTTATTAACACGTAAATGGTTGTGTTATAATAATTTTTCTTGTATTTTATTAGCTTAGAAAAACAGAAAGGGAAATAACAACCACACGTAGTTTATTCTTCCTCCTGACTGTAGCTGCTACATCAACATGTTGGTCGATCTTTCATATGTTCATGATTCAGTTGAGCTATATTTGCTGGGACATTTATTCTTTTAGGTTCTACCACACCAACTAGGTAAGTTGGAGAGTTGTAAAACCAAAAGCAGAAAACCCCTAATTGTAAGGTTGTCGTACTGCCAACTGTATAAGTGTTTCGACGGTAAAGTAACCAACAGTCAATCAGTCAGTAAAAACGTAGAACTTCGTACGTACGTACATCAGTTCGAGTTGCCATAACACATTAGCACAGAGATGCAGTTGTGGATTCAAATTTCGTAGTGGTAGAGGTAGTAAGGGTATAAGCAGTAATCGGGAAGATTAAGGTTTGAAGATGTTATTCAAGGAGTACAACCCAGCGAAATAAGTTTGGAAAGAGGAAAAAAGGGACATGAAGGTACCCAATATCTACAGTTATTCTGCGTTTCAACAACAGATAAATTGGTTGAAAAAAGATAATGCTTAAAAATAGCATAACTCAACTTGTAACATGAAATTACAAGGACTGCTAATCTAAAATTGCTCGAAGAAATGCCGTACTTGATCAGACTTAAGCAATTGTCCTTTGAGTACTAAAACCAATCCTTCAAGTCATCAAGACAACTTCTTATCAAATTTCCTGTTCCAAGTCTCTCAAAAAACTATTTTCTCTTAGGAATTGAGCAATCTGAAGTGAGATTCATTCATCATTATCGAATTCATTTATTACGTTATATTAATGAAAAACTGTTATTTAAAATAATTGATACTAAATCGTACAGTAGATCTCACCTAATTTCTTATTATCAAAATAACTTATATAAATATGATATCCATAGACAATTATAAAATCTATATGTAGTCATGCCCCCAAATGCCCTGGTATAGCCGAGAGTGGGGAGAGTCTGCTTTCTCTCTCAAAATGCTCTCACATGGCCACGGGTATATAGCCTCTGCCAGGGAAGTCCTACTCATTGCCTTCTCGTAGAGGAGGGCTGTTGTCTACGAAAATGAGAGGACAAAAAGCGAATGTCTGGCGCTTTAACCTGATTCCAAACTAATGGTGCACATGGGCTCCAGTACCCTGCGGGAACAAATAGTGTATGAACCAATTGTTGGTTACTGGCTTCCATGGGACTGCATCTCCTTACGATGCTCCAGTGCCTTTTGGATCAGACCTTCAGGTCGAAGGCTTGGGGAGTGGCCCTCTAAGAAAACCACCTGCTTCGGTATGGGCACTCGGGCAGTATCACAGCCCTCACAGATATCGAATGAGATTTGTGTGGCGCATATGTATTTGGTGCCTCCTTGTACCAATATCTATGTGTTAAAATAAATAAACAATACAAATTGGAATGAGTCGATATAGGAACATATAAAAAACAACATATATAGATGTGCTTATTTTGATGAGGCTTATTATTTACTTTTATCTAGTAATCAATCAGTATCATTTATTAAGTGTAATTCTTTCAAATACAAGGTTTATCGAATAAATATTTAATAAAAAGAAGAAATCAACTATGCACCTGATCATCACTTAACATTAACAATTACTATATTAGATACATGTGATAATAATTATTATAAATATGTAATAGAATTATTTCTTTTTTTGAATTTAAATTTGGCGAACCTTTAACACAAACATAAAATTATCACACATATATACTTAGTGATTAAAACAACAACAATAACAACAATAGCAACAACGAAAAAATTCTTTTTCATTTACATGATAACAGCTTAATTCAAGCATAAATTGTAGTTTTTTTATCGTGTTAGAAATAAAGAGAAAAGAAGAGCAAAAGAGAAAAGAAAAGAAAAAGAAAAAAATAAAGAAGAAAAGCAAACATTTACATTTATAATTTGGAATGTTTAAAATGATTCAATATTTTAATGAAACGAATGAACAATGATTAATGATAATGAAAATATGAATTAATATCTTGAATTTTTAGAAAGAGAAATAAAATATATTCGAAGCAACAAAAAAAACATGAAAATTACATTTGTATATAAGAGACAAACTCTATTTGTATTGGAATAGGGGGGTAAGAAAAAAAAGCAGGACGTGAAAACATCCCATAGATACACAGAAGAATTACATATAGGCGAAACATAATATCAAGATATATATACACATATACATATATATATATTCACTGTTTGTTATATCTTTATTAGTTATGTATGGAATGTATAAACATATTGAGACTGAAACATATGTGCATAGTTTTAACATGCCTATTTTTAGGTCAACAGTTAAAAATAACAATTATTTAATGATATAATGTTTATTTTTTTCTCTACAATTTGTTACTAACCTGGTAATAATATACATTTTATGATTAGTGTCAACAATAGAGAATAATAAACAAACAAAAAAAACCCACTGATTTATTTGGTTATAAGTTGAATAATATTAGTTTGAAAAAAAAGGAAGTACAAATAAGTAGGGGATAGTTTATGAAATCAATTTGAAAATATGAAGTTAATAAGATGAAGTGTAAAAGAATCACTACACTAATGAAAATTTAAAAAAAAGGGTTAAGCATTGAGAATATGGTTTGAAAAGACATAATGAAAGAGTATGAATGAAAAAATAATAGAACTCAAGAAATGCATAGAGTTAAACAATGAGTGAATAAATGAATGTACATCAATGAGACCGATTTCAAACCATTTTTCTTAACGTAACCAACTACAGATCGAGAACATCATAAGTAACAGTGGGGTTAGACGCAAGGTATTAGGGAATGATGATTAATCAGTTGATCAGGTTGTGAATCTTCACAGACTGAGATGGTTAGGCAACGTGTTGAGTATACCTCAACATTGATTACCAAAACGCGCAATGCTCACTAGTGTAGAGGATGGTTGGAAGAAACTTAGGGTGGCCAAACTAAGACGAGACGTCAGTTCATAAAGTCACTAACTTCTGGTCTGAGACATGTTGGTAGATGCAGACTACTTGGTTAGGGTCCGTGCGACTATCGTAACCAATCGTTGGAGACTCTGTGTGATATGGCTTAGAATCCATCAAAATGGCTTGGGTCTATACACTCGTTGTCTTTCTTTAAACTATGAGATTAAAATCGCTTCATATCTTTCTTTCTACGAACTAATTCTTCCTTCCTGTACTATGTCCCTATATGCAATCTTTCTTTTATATATTACCATCACTGAACTAGCTACTTCAATGAATTCGGTGTTCATCTTGCTGTGCTAATGATATTTGGTAACTTGGACCAATGCATGTATGTGCCTGGTCCTCTGTTGTGGCTGACTGGCTGATTAAAGGATGCTAACTACGTGGTCTGCACGTAACGATACAACCCAGTTCATCAGTTACTGATTTTATGGACGGATAATTTCTAGAATCATGCCATTCAGACCAGTCGGTAATCAACAGATATATCCAGTTCATCAACCCAAACCAGAAAATCAACAAGAATAAAAAAGCAAATGTAATTGACGAGATATGCGGGGACAGACAACCACAGACAAGAACATCAGATCGGAGTGATTTGGTATTTGTAGGATAATTTCAAAAAGAAACTCGCTTCCAACTGAAGGAAACGTTGAAGGCTTTGTACGGAACAATACTATGAGCCGTCCAGTTTAAAATGTGCAACACCACTGACAATATATTTATTTTCTCATAACTAGTGCTAACAGATGAATACTGACTTTTAAATGTAACCGATCTTATTGAGTTGTGGAGTCATTGATTTAGTAATTACATTTTCACAAATTCAAACTTCATTCTACACAAATAAATTCAAGTAATCAAAGTATGTTAATAGAACATGAATCAATTGATACTACCTAAGTTAAAGTTGAAATGTGTGTATGCTACTTTTTGCAAAGTGAACAATTCATCATTTACAGTTTTCTGATTTTCATTTTCATGTTTTACCAAAATAAAGATTAGATTAATTTCTAAAACTATAGAAATATAGAAAGCCAACATAAAGTGTACATTATGCAAATTTCCAGAGTTATCTGCTTCTGAATAAGAAGAGGAATTCAATCTATTTTCTATTCTTGAAAGCCAGACGAATATTCACAAATTATACTATTGATGGTGGGTTGAATAAAATTCCACAAACAATTTTAGAAAATCGTTTGCTTGCCGACTAGCTTCGATAAATTTATCTAATGATATAACATCATTCTTTTGTAACCTGACATTTTACGTTGATTAGTCAGTTACTCAATTCATTACCTACATTTCAGTTTGGCGTTGTGGAGATTATTGATTTCGATTAAGATCACAAACCGATTACTTATGAATATGATAAACATTTTGGAACGAACTCTTATATTATCATTATTTTCAATGCTTAAGATCATGAGTCAGTTGAAGCTAGACCACTATGGAAAACCTGTAAGCATTGGACGGCCGTTTCGTCGTATTGTGGGACTTCTCAGCAGTGTGCATCCACGACCTCGCCCTCTGCGAGATTAGAATCCAGGACCAATTGGTTTCGCACGCGAGCACTTAACCCCTAGACCACTGAGCTAGTCGGCATCCAACGGTGTTAATGTCTAATTTCAACTAATCCACAAAATTGAGCGACACATCTACCATTGTCTTCAGTGAGTTACTATCTCACAACAGACCTGGTTGAACTCCACTGTTCAATACTTCTCACTAGAACTCCAGGATATGCCTCGTGAAGCCAGTCACTAGTGAGCATATGTTGATTAATATCAGATGGGTTTTGTGGATATTATAGTAATTTCAAGTGACTCATGATCTTAACCATTGAAATTACTATAATATCCACAAAATACATCTGATATTATCATTATTATTATCATATGATAAAATGGTTTTTTCGGGAAATCGATGAAAAAAAGCAAAACAAAATATTACTCACTATTTCGTTTTATATCCAGCAAGTATACATATATTTGTCAATACTATCATAGCAATTTCTTGAAAATATGGATCACCATAACCAGTGGGTATTATTTCTATTAGACATTTAAGAAATTCTTCACTTTTAGCAAGTTGATACCAATAAACTGGAATTTTACAGAAAAAAACAACAATAATAATATGATTGTTACTAATGGATATTGACAAGATTGTGGAATTTAAATTTTCCATATTATGGACTGATTTTGCTTAGATAACCATTGAACACCACAAAGTACTAGACAAGTGTTTTGTTTTATTATGAAACTTTTCAAGAATGTACATCCACAATCCCATTTGCGGTCGAACCCAGGACGTACAGACCCCACAGTGAGAGGTTAACCTTGAGATAAACGAGTTAGATTCTAATGGCTCCTATTTTAATTTCGATTGCTTGCGGAATCGTGGGTGCACATTTATGAGAAATTTTATTCTAAGACGGGACAGGTATCTAGTGCACCTTGGATCTCAATGGTCGACTATTGCAAATCAGTCTGCGATAGACGATGCACACCTCGCCTTATCCCACGGATATCTATCTCCGTCGGTTAGGTCTCAACAAGTACTAGCTAACACGAAAATTACCCACAAAAAGGTCGTGTGCGACCGAACTCAAGCAGTTTTCCCTTGGGCACTACGGTCACACTCTCAAGTCTCTAAAACCACCTTTAATCCGATTTTTCCATTCAGGTCTCTCTAGATAACCCTTCCACGGTGTGGGCAACCGGAGAGTGATAACTGCCCTCATACTTCCAACAGCACTCAAGACCACTAGGAAGGATTTGATTGTGACCAACAATCTCGTGTGCTGTTATGGGCATGAGGGATAATGTCGATTGTCGGCTACCCACACCGTAGGAGTGTGTTTTTTGAGAAACCTGAAAAGGAATTCGGATTAGTGTTGGTCTTAACGACCAGGGAGCGTGACCGCAGAGCTCAAGGGACAACTGCTTGACGCCGGACGCACAAGGCCTTTTGGTGGGAAGTTTTTAACCTGTTAGCTCCGTTCTCCAAAAGGCCTTACCACCGGAGGCGGAAATCCGTGAGGTAAGATGAGGTGTAACATTTTTAAGCTCGACTTTTTCTAACCCCTTCCTTCCTTGTGAGAAGGCATCATCGTTTCAGATGCTGGTTATCCAAGGGAAAGACCTTACTGTTGTCACAACCCTCTACAGTTAACAGTACGACTTCGCCCTTAGACCTTGAGTTGCTGCTTTTAGTCTTACCGTTCTCCGATCGACCTGCCTGGAATGGTAGAACATACAGGAATATATGTTCCAGCCGATATAGCTCGGTTGAGTCATCACGATAGGCAAGCCTAACCACCACATCAAAGTAGCAAGCTATGGTCAGGCAGGAGTAATTCAAACTTTAGAATAGTATGATAAAACTTTTGACAACTGTTCACATCAAAACAATCACTTCTAAATGAAACATCTAATTACATCTTGTTAATGATAAACGATGAATAAGACTTAAACATTATTCTATAACATTGAATTGCGTGCTACTTATATTAACATAAGTAGTATATAACGCGAGTCAGGAATGTAATGTCTGGCAGCAGGAGATTGGGAAGATCAGGAAAGAAAGAAGAACGGGAATAAAAAGCAATTAGTATAGAAATGCAAGAACAATGAAGTTCAAGACAATTATTGAACATTTTGCAAATTGGATATTATGGTATGATTTTCCTATTTTATCACGTAACTCTGTAATGTTGTGTTAAACATAATTCGGTTGTCCTCACCTGTGTTCTCCTTCACTACATTTGATGTTGCTGTCACTACAACATGACTTCTTAACTGATGTGAATCATTTTAGAAAAAAACAAAACAAAACATAAAGTGTAAACTAAATTAAAATTCAAAACAAAATAAGAATCTTTTTTTTTTCTTTTCACTTTTACCTCTATATTTGATACCAGAAATGAATTGATATTTACTTTGATCAGTTATTAATAAACATTGATTGATACATTTCAATGTATCAGTGTTCATGACAACATGTTGACTACAATGATAATCATTCTTATTCATATCATTTTCATAATCCAATGAAAATGTCATTGATTCAAAATTATGTAATTGTGAATATGGTATTAATGAATGAAATGATAAATCTTTTATAAAATTATTATTATTCTCATGGTATATTTGATTGTTTATTATAGTTTTTAATTTGATTCTGTAAATATATTCAGAGAATGAAAGACGATCATAGAAATTAGGCATTATTGTTCAAGAAAATATTGATCCAATATAAGATCATTTATGTTATCTGAAAATTAAAAAAGAAAAAGATTTCTATTACGAATTGATATTAATTAGGTAAGTATTGAAAATATACATTTGTATCAGCCTCGTGGCTTCCGAAGGAACTGGGCCTTCACTATGAGGTGTTATAACTCTTCTAAATAAACATCTTCTGACTTCTAGGGCAGAGTTTAAGTGATTTGAATAATTTTTTTCTGGTTAGAATTTCTTTAGCGAGTTAGTTTTGAACAGGATGGGGTCGCTAATCTCATGACCAAAAACAGTTCTATTGTATAGAACGGAAACCTGGAGAACTACAAAAGCCATCATTCAGAAGATACAAGTGTTTATTAACAGTTGTCTACGCAAAATGCTTCGGATCCGTTTATCAGACACTTTCAGCAACAACCTACTATGGGAGAGAGCAAACCAGATCCCACAGGAGGAAGAAATCAGGAAGAAGCGCTGGAAGTGGATAGGACACACATTGAGGAAAGCACCCAACTGCGTCACAAGGCAAGCCTTCACATGGAATACTCAAGGCCAAAGGAAAAAAAGGAAGACTGAAGAACACACTACGTCGAGAAACGGAGACAGACATGAGAAAAATGAGCGAAAATTGGACAGAACTGGAAAAAAGGACCAGGACAGAGTGGGTTGGAGAATGCTGGTAGACGGCCTATTCTCCATTGGGAGTAACAGGCGTAAGTAAGTACCTTCTTATTCAAGATATGATGAAATTTGTAAGCTAAAAACATCGGATAGAAAGGAAGAAAATTTGCATTGAACTTAATCTTGCTGATGAATACATGATCAGATATCGGCGTTTGTTGTAATTTACTTCTAAGTAAGGTGATTTTATACACAAATTAATAATTTACCTGGTAAACCATTTAAAAGTAGGTGAGTTGTTAACATGTTTCGTTATCATTAAATTGGAATAATATTTAAGGTAAATGAATGTTGATTGTAATCTAATCTTAATTACAATAGTCAATTCTTCTTGGAAAGATTTAACTCAACTCCACATTCCATTTGTTAAACTAGTGATAGTTGGATGCGTTGTCAAAACATTCATAAATAAAGTTTACATATTACAAAAAAAACAACCCCCTATTAATTGTATCCACCAACTACAAGTTAGCAGCAACTGATAGGAAAAATAAATAAATCCAGTTGAACGATATTCTAACGTATAAACAAATAGGTTGTTGATCCAAACGTCAATAAGAATGACATAACTATGGGAATATTTTAGTAGTATAAAGTAAAATTTTTAAAAAGAAATGATGTTAATTTGTATATTTCAATGGTCTAATGGTTAAGCGCATGCGCGGGATGGGATCGTGGATGAGCACTGCTGAGAAGTCCCTTACTAGGACGAGACGGTTGTCCAGTGCTTCCATGTCTTCCGTGGTGGTGTAGCTTTAATTGACTCATTATTTCAACTAGTAATATTTCAAAAATAGTTTTATTATTTAGTATTCCAAGCAATAGAAAGAAAGTAATAGTAAATCAATTTATTTCAGGCAAAAGGTTAATTCGAGAGCTAAATCAAATTCAGATGAATAAATTACTAAAAACATGAGAGAATCATCTAAATAATATATCCACCTGTTCCTAACAAATTTAGTGAAGTAATCTGAATAGCGATGATATAAACCATAAACTTTAAAAGCCGATAAAGATCAACAACTGGTTAATTAGAATTCAAATATCTTCTCTGTTATTAAATAGTAATGTCATATTGTTGATAGTTTCTTAGAAGAAAGAGTGAATCATTATCACAAAATCCCTTTATTTTATAAAGCTATATGTGGTAAAAAAAATAGCGCACTGCTGAGGAGTCTCATACTAGGACGAAACAGCCGTCCACTGCTTCTAGGTTTTCCATGGTGGTCTAGCTTCAATCGACTCATGATTTCACCCTGTGAAATTTCTAAAACTCTCCACAAAACCCATTCTGAAAATAGTATCACTTTAATGCACAGATCAAAGTGATAAATCAAATCCATAAGGAAACTTTAGTTGACAAAGTAACAAAGTCTTGGGTTGAATTATTACCATATTAGCTGACGATAAGAACAGGTTCTTTTATTTATTTATTCCAGTGAAATATGTTAATAAATACCACCAAATTGATAATACAATTACTTGGACGAATTGGTTGAATGAATACGATTAAATATATAAAATTAAGATAAACGAGTTATCATCAAAGCTACTTAGTTACTAAACATTATTGACACTAAATAGTTGAACAGGCAGAAAAACAACAGTAAACATTTGACTGTGTTTTAGGGAATCTTTTTTTGTTGTTTTGTCTTCATTTTCTTAACAAATGGTAGTTTCGATGTATAAAAAAGACCTCATTAACCCTTTTCCACAGACTGTTTATCTTCTAATTAAGTTCGACATTTTTGTTGTGTTCAAAGGTCAAAGTTATTGCCACATAAACAGAATCGATTTATTACAATTTCAGTTCGAGTTTTTTTTGTGACTTGACTACTTGCCTTTTCATCACTACAAAGATTATTGTGAAAGTGTTGTACTTTAATCATCCGATCTATTTGGTTCGCGTAAATCCCGTTTCGTATAAAGATTTTTTTAATGATTCGTATTCGGAATTACTGTAAGCTATTTCAAAAGACAAAACCAGGTGAAAAATCTACAATAATGAATTCATTAACTCAGAGCACATGTATCCCAATTATCATTCTTAGTTAACTACTTTATCTTCTTTCTGATTTAAAGAAAACAACCTATATAAAATCCTAAACTTATAACAAAACAACTATCCTATGTTCCCATGAAAACTTGATACATTTCTACAACACAATATCATTTAGTTTGTATACAAAAATAAATACACTTCTTACAAGATTGTAAACATTACAAAGAGAGAGAGAGAGAGAGAGAGAAAGAGAGACAGAAGTCAATTTATATTCATAGATGAATAAACAATATCACAGGACATAAAATAATAATAATAAATAAAACTAACCTTACATGATACATTATAAAATAAAATTGAAAAGTTCTTTTAATTACAACCTAAAATAGTAAAGTATGATAGAGGTTAGCAACAGAATCCAGGATACGTTTTTCATGCTAATTCAAATTTATCCATTGGACTTACCAGCATCCTAATATTGAGGTGAATATTGACAGTCGAATCAAGTACCTTTCACTTCAAATATGTTATCAAGTGAACTATTGAATCTATCAAGCCAACAGTTTGGAAAACAGCGATTTGGACGGCTCTCCCGGTGTCCCACATTGTACGAACATTCCATGTACCTAAATAAATGGTCGCTCTGGTTGTCAGAAGGGACATCGGCCTCGTAACTTCCGTAGGAATTCGGCTTTCATCATGAGGCGTCATAGTTTTTCTAAATGAAGACCTTCTGACTCCCAGGGCAGAGGTTAAAAAGTTTGAATAATTTTTTCTGGTTAGCGTTTTTTAGCGAGTTAGTTTTCTACGGGATGGGGACGCTAACCCGATGCCCAACCCTCCTCCTTTATCCGGGCTTGGGACCGGCAGTAGCCCCCGGAGGGACTCCAGGCGTTGTTTGGAAAACAGCTATGAATTTATTTAGTGAGGGTTAGTATTTTCTCATTGTTGATATTAAGGACTTCAATTAATTAGTCAACATCACCACCAAGATGTGGATATATCCATCTGGTGAGTCATAGATGGGACCAAATGTAAGTTCTAGATTCAACTGCTGATCACCGTCCAAGTTTAGCATAAACTTATGATACATTGACACTATGGGGTTATTTGCTCATGATCCATGTATATCAAAAAAGACTGATTAAATCAAGACAGTAACATCAACAACGAAAAATAGAGAGATCAACCGATAGTTTCCCATTACACGTAGAAAATTGTAGAGAAGTGAACAGAAGATTTAGTATAATCAAAATACTAAGTACTTATAATTCTGTTGGGCATCCAACCCTTATACACATTTAATATTATCTAGACCATTAGATCGCAATAAAATCTAAGACTTTAAAAAGCAACCTACAGTAAGCACTGGGTCTATGTTCCTCGTGTTATCATCAAGATTGAAATCGCGAACTGATTTCAGCCAGGAATACAAATACTAACTGAAGTTAGAAATGGTGACTATCAAATTCTAATTTATAGGCTGAATGGTATTGTACTCGCTAAATACTATAAATATCATGTGAGATATTGGTAAGCGTGAGTTGGTATTTGACCCTGAAATGCCCTGGTATGTTCGAGGGTGTGGAAAGAACACTCTCACTCTACAAATGCTCTCATATGGATACGCATATAAAGCCACTACCAAGAAGGTTCCTCTCACACCCTTCTCAAACACAGTTCTTTTTTACGAAACTGAGAAGACAAAGAGCGAATGTTCAGTGCTTGAATCGGGTTGGTGGGTACGGAACAATTATCAAGAGGAGTTGAAAAACCCTAATCCAAAACCAATGCTCCACATGGGCTACAAGGTCCTGGTTCTGAGGAACTATATGGAATATGAACCTACTCTTGATTATCACTTCCTACCATGAGATCGCATTGGCTAACGTTGCTCCAGCGCCCTGTGAAGTTAGGCTTTAAATCAAAGACTTGCAGAGTAAACTCCCAAGAACACCACCTGATTCGGTTTGGGTGCCTGGAGAGAATCCCAGCCCAAACACAGATTAAATGATAACAGCATTGTGTGATATATATATATATATATATATATATATATATATATATATATATATATATTAGAGCTCCTTCGTATCAGTGTTTCAACAAATAATAAATAATATGAAGCAATTATTCAGTGCTTCATAGTTAGTTATCATCAATGGATAGACAAGAAAAGAACCATTATTACATATTATTATTAGTAGATTAATAAGCCAATATTATAAGAACAGATAGTTTTTCACATAAATTATAATGACTATCAATGACTATCAAAAACCAACGTAAAATTTAATAGAAAGAATAATTAGCAACAATGAATTATGACTTTACTTTCGAAAATTAAACAAGGTGTCAGTCAGTCAATTAATTATCACTACATTTTTAATGTATAATTTGACGAGTTATACAATGAATATTAATTAACAGTTTACAGTAGAAACAATGCTCAATAATAATTATCACCAGTAATAATAAATGAGTTTCAATAAAAGCAACGAGATAAGTTTAGAAAACATTTGGGAATAAAAGAGAATCTAATATGTTTTCTTTCTTTATTAATTGTATATAAATAGTGAAGAATGTGAAGTTTTTGATAGAGTTTTGTTCTGAGTTGGATGTTTTGGTCGTGAAGCTTCCGTTGTTCTTCTGAATGGCATCATCAGCACAAATTTCAGGTAAAAGTAAAGTGTTCTAATTTCTCCATATGTGGTTCATAGCTCGTTTTGAAGTTTGTGCTGATGATGTCGTTCAGAAAAACGATGAAAGTTCCACGATCAAACCATCCAGCTCAGAAAACATAACTCCATCAAAATCGTCCACCTGAGCTACATTTGAATGTGAAGTTTGACCTACACAATTAACTAACACTAACATCTTATTAGATTTGAATAAAATACTATATTCAATTTAATGATCGGAAAGGAATAAGAATTCATTTTCATTGTTTTAAACACCTTGGTATAGTAAACCTACAACTTCAATTAGTATTATTTTGAAGACTGGAAGTGATCAAGTCAAATACTTTATCATATGACCGATGAGTAAGAATTCACTAATATAGATTTCGTAATTCCAAGAAAATTCTTAATTTGGCGTAAATATTAAAAGCTGTACTTAGTAACCATCTATCTATCTATATGCTTTAAATGACTGAATCCATTGAGCAAATTTACACCGTGTTAAAATTTCAAGATATCTATCTTGGAACTAATCATTAACAAGTATTGAAACATTATTCAACGAATTATAAACTTCTCGCTTTACGATTATGTAAATACGAATTTGCAAATGGCAGTAGAGGATTTATGAAGATTGTTAAGTTTCATTGTTTACATGACAGAATGATTTTAATTAGAAAACTTCCGAAAATCAGGAATCACTAGACAATTATTTTATCTTTGTATAAAACTCTTCAGAAGAGTGAATTCAAGACTCCAACGAACCTTCAGGTGTCCTATTAAGTCTTTAAAATTCAGACCAATGATCCGATATCCAGCGTTATGCATACTTAATTAATTGATTAGCGTTAGACACATTGACCATTGGATGTCGGCTCGATGGTCTAAAAGTTACACGCTCGTAGCGAGACCTAAAGGTTCTAGGCTCGTAATATAAAATACAGAATTTGGCAAGACTATAATTTATGGACGAACCAATCAGATTTAGGATGACAGGTTTCGGATTTTAACGCGAAATTCACCTGCCCATTTGGCCAAATAACGTCTTGATATTTTAGCTGATGTCAGTTCGTGATGAAAAAAATGGTACATCTAATTCCTAATCCTAACCATCAACTGTGAATCATAATCCTTATTCTTCAAACTGTTTTATAACTCTCATTTAGCCCTAATAAGTAGGTAGACACTGTCAAGTTCAATTTAGCATTGTTCAAAGGTTGTCCATGCATTCTAGTTTCACAAAGAATTTCGATTGTAAAAACAGTAAAACTAACTCAGTATTGCTATATGTTTATAATGAAAAACAATGAAAAGAAAAGTAAAGAAAAATTGTATACTCTGAAACTGTAATCTAAAATAGAAATAAAATTTATTCAACAAAAAGAATACAAACCGGTATTTTAATCAAAATAGATAAAGAGTAAATATAGTAGAATAATCCATTTAACAAATGTATCTCTTGTTAACATAATATACATATTACGCAAGTTGATAATGGTAACAACAAGACAACAATTACTAATGTGTTAACACTATGATGAGTCATGAATATAAAATGCCAAATAGAGTAAATGTGTGCTAATTATGAGACATTTTACTTTATTAGAAAATGAATTAATTTATCCACCTACATAAATGTAATGGCCAAATGGTATATGCTATTCAAAGAATGTTCATTTGTGAAGGATTATTTTTTATCTTGTCACTGTTTCTGTTATTTTTAAATACCAAAAAGGTGGAATTTTTGTAATTATTACGAGTTGACAATATAATTGGGTTAAAGACTAAGTGGCAAAATGTACTCAAGTAATTCAGTGGATAATGCGTTTGCGTTTGGACGAAATACAGTAGGTCCAAATCTTAGTATGGTGATCAATATTGGACTGTAGACACATTCAGCTGATGAGTCCGAAATACGATCAAACGCATTTATTTATTTCAACACATAGATATTGGTACAAAGAGGCACCAAATACATATGCGCCACACAAATCTCATTCGATATGTGTGAGGGCTGTGATACTGCCCAGGTGCCCAAACCGAAGCAGATCAAACGCATACCCTGAATTTCACTGTTAACTTTAATCCAGATATATGATTCAATAAAAGGCTGTCGATTCATCAAAAAAGTACTATGACTATAAGAGATTACAAGAATAGAATCATTTGAAGAGACAGGAAAAGCTTTACAACAAAAACCAAATGCACCTTTTTCTGTTATTGTATGAACTGGAGCAAATATGAATGAAATATTACAGTCATACAATGGTAGCATAAACTAAGTGTACCAATTACATCTAGTAGCGTCAACGTCTTTATGTTCTTAGAGCAGTAATTGGTTAGACGTAGTATTACAATCGCCTAAAACGAATCAACATTTGAACTTAAGATAATGCTGATAATTAAAACAAAATCTGGATTATAGTAATATGTGAATTATAATCAAATAATCTCTGTATTTACCAAAGCACACTTGACAACTAAAGTGTAATCGAAACTTGGTTGTTACATATATATAGAGATCTCTGGTCCCATTCCTTTCATGCTTATATTTATACACTTTTCATTAAAAGAAAATATTGTTTATGTTCTGTTCAGAATTAGACTCTACAACTATATCATATGCAGTAACAAATAATAATGATATACTTTTATCTACCTTGTCCGTCATGAAACAAACATAATTGACTGATAAAATATGGAAAGAATTGAAATAGCTAAACTGTTAATTTTAAGCATAGAATCAACTAAACATTTTAGAACACAGAACTATCGTCTAAATGAAAAAAATGGTCAACCAAGATAATAGTTATTATAACCTATTTATCAAATTTAAAAAAATAATTGATCATTTGTAGAAGGAGTCAATGTCATTAAACAACCAAAAAGGTTGTCAAACTACTTGTCAAATATTAGTCAATTAAGTAGTATTTTCTGTAATACAAATCTTTTCTCTTAAACGGGATAAGAATTGGGGAAATATCCTGCTCGTTGTACTTCTCAGTTTAATTTATGATAAAATCAAATAATTATAATGCCTAATGAACAGACTAATTATTAAGCAAAGCAAATAATATTTAACTGTGAGTATAGGGTTGTGGAAATTGATGCATTTCATTGAAATGATAAACCGATATACGTGAAAAAACACATTGAAAACCTGGAAGCACTGGATGAGAATTTCTTCCCTACCTGGTTGATGGATCGTAGATGTACACTGTTGAGGATTTCTATACTAAAACGAAACGACCGTCTACTACTTCCAGGTTTTCAATGGTTGTCTAACTTATATCAGTTCGTGATTTCAATAAAATGATATTTGAACCAACCAAAAAGTAACCAATCATATGTTAATTAAAAACTTAGACCTTGAAAACGAAAAATATGCTATTTTCACACACCCACGGTTAATGAAATTATGTCATAGAAACCTATAAAAGCGTACTAATTATGTTCACTAATTTAAATAAACAAGTAACAAAAGTGTACCAAAAAGAAACGGGTGTCTTTTTTTTCTGCATAAGTGTGAGTACGATAACAACAGTTCAGAGAAAATTCTACCTGGAAAATATTATGAAAAGTGATATATAAAACTGACACTTAATTCATCACGGTAACAAGAAAATATATATATATATCATTATTATTGTCGGAAGATTGACACTTTACTGAAATTCATTATCCTTTTTTCTATTAACTAAAACATATCATAAGTGTCTATATTGAAAACATTATGAGCCAGACAATGAGTCAATTATTATTTATAGCATTTATTAGTGGTTTAATTATGCTTATCCAATCAGTTCCATATCACAGATCATCATCATCATTATCATTATCACCGTTTAGAAGGATAGATTCATTGGAAAACTTTAAGAAATTATCAATGACACAAGATAATACAATTGAAACAATCATGAAAAATAATCAACCAATAATGAAATGGAATCAACAACCAGGTAAATTAGATAATTTATTCATTATTAAAAAGTCAATCAATTATGCTTTAAATAATTATACTATTAAACCAACATTTTATCAATATGTAAAATCATGCTGTAATCGTGAAGTAATGAGACCAATGGGTGGTGGACATATGACTGGACCATGTTGTAAACAATTAATTAAATTTAATCATTTTATTTGGTTATCATTTCCATGGTTTAAAAAAACAATAACAAAATTTACTACTGATTAATAATCATACTAAGAGTAGTATAATGTTATCCAATGGTTACTACTTAGTTAATTTACAAGAATTGTGATTTTTCTTTTTTCAATAATATGTCAATATTACAAGAAATGGAATAATTTAGCATAATACAAAACAGTGTTCATTGAACAAATATTTATTTGTACCATTGAATGTTAACTTGCATTTATTGGAAAATGTTCCTTTATACATTCTATCTGTTGAAACACGTACAAAAAGGAAGAGAGAGAAGGAGAGAAAGAGCGAACTTCGAAACCCAAAACAATAATTCCATTTACAATAATCTTTGTTTGTTTATTTATTTTACTCAGTTTCTTAAATCTGTAGATTTCTTTTTTGACATGTTACTTTTCAATTGTCCTATTTTTTGTTTCTTTCTTGGTTACGGTTAAATTACACTGTGAATAATATTAGCAATAGACAACTATTAAATAAACAAAAAAATGGAATTCAAAAAGAAAAACAGTTTTATTCATTTTTTTTAACAAATATTTCCTCGTTTTTATTTTGCACACACTACACATCATTCTTGTTTGCGTATATCTATATACTACTAAATATACCATTTAAGTAGAAAATTCAGTGACTTTGTGGGGCGTGCTATTTATATTGATATAAGTAGTATATAACGCGAGTCAGGAATGTAATGTCTGGCAGCAGAAGATGAGGGAAGATCAAGAAAGCAAGAGCGAGAATAGAATGCAATTTGTATGAAAATATAAGAACAATGAAGTCTGATGCATTTTGAGACAATTGGTGGACATTTTGCAAATTCACGATTTAATATATAGTTCTCAGATTTTATTGAGATCCTCTGTAATTTTGTGTCAAATACATTCGATTGTCCCCACCCGTTTTCTGTTCACTACAACTTTAGGACCAAGATAAAAATGCTAAAACTTAGAGAATAAAAGTGAATTCACTAATTGGTTTCTTCTTTAGATTTTTAAACTTATAATTATATTCGTTGTAATGTTGCAAACGATCTTACTACACATGAGAAGCCTTCATATATAAACGGGATGATGAAATTTAAGCTTATTCTTCAGTCTATGGTCTTTTATCATATTTATTTACTAATAAATACCTGAAATTAAAAAATATATATATGGAGAGCGACCTCAGTTTATCAATGTTTTCTTTTCTTTTTACTGTTACACATTGTTTCCAACCTTCTCTGGTAGACTGTTTTGTTTATTTACTTGTATATAAATAAAATCAAAAAGAATAGTTGCATTTTGTACACTAGTTTTTAAAAACAAAGTAGGTAACGCTCATCAGTTGTATATGTATATATATACTGAATGAAGGTAAACAGTATATTCGTATTAGACTAAATTAGACCATAAATAACTTCAACTAGTCATGTTAGAAATTAATAAAATCATTTGACAAGTGAAGTAAAAAGTTTAACTTTTTTTAAAAACAACATACAACAGCGGTGTAACATATCGGAATTAGAGAGTAGTAGTAGTATAGTTACATGCCTTTCATATAACCCAATGATTATGAATGTAAAAGTTGTGTTTCTAATGCGACAAATCTTTATCATTTTTTACCCGGTTCAAAAACCAACAAAAGAAAACAGAAGATATTTATCGATATTATTAAAATGATGAACAAAATTTATCCATGATAATATTGTTGTTGTTATTGTTGTTGTATAAAAGCGGTTTTAATGTTACTATAACTTGAAAAGAATAGGATAGTGTTGTAGTGTAAAATATGTGATTAACTTGTTGAAAGAAAGAAAACTTTCGATAGTTATTAAAGTTTAGTGTTTACAGGTAAAACAAGTTTTGAGTGTAATAGACAAATGATTGATTCATGTGGTTGATTCTCACAATTTTACCGATTACTTATATAATCGAATTTAGATAATAAAAAATAAAGTTGTAATCTGGAAATTATTGTTGTGGTAACTGAAATTGGGTCTTTCTATTAAAATTTCGTGTGTGATGATTGTAATATGAATGAGAGGAGTAGTTTTCTCTATAAGTCATTAGATAAAGACTTATTATTTCGATAACCTAGGTAATTTTACATTTTTAAGTACACTGGTCTAAACTATAAAAAAAAACAGTAAATTAACCATGACATGTGAAGGATAATGAACAGTATGAGAATGATTAGTAATAGAGCGGTAATCTTCATCATAAAATCATTATTAAATGAGAGGGAATTGTACAGGCGTTTTCCAGTTACACAGTTAAACTGTAATAACTTTCGCAGTTTTAAGGTCACTTCTTTGGCATATGATAACAAAGTTACATTCTACATTGACTAAAACACTAGAAACACTCAAAATAACACAAGTTCTATGTGATGTTTCATTGTCTCCACTGTTGAACAGAAACGGCCTGCCTCTCTCTCCCTATATATATGTGCTCCACAGGAACCCATAAATTAATAAATCCAAATAGGAGTGAACAGAGGCAGAATATCGTCCTCTATGGACATATTTGAATTACTGAGATATATTAAAGATAATCGCATTATAACTCACGCTGGTGATACCATCAGCAACACCCAATGGTAACAAACGAGGTTCTTTAACGAAATCATTTAAAGCAAATGATTTGACAAATAAAGTAACCGACTATACCCAGATTGAAAAAACTACACGTACAGTAACTTGGTTGAAAACACTGTAAAACGGTATTCATTTCCCTTAATCATCTGAATTCCAAAAAACGATTACTAAACCTAAGACACTACTCGTTAAGCAAACCAGTCTACATGTTTCATTTAAGAGAGCTATGACTGTATAGGTTTTGTGAATTGTATAACCAAAAGACACTAGTTATAGTCCTTCGAAAGTACGATAATAATCGATCCTTCTTCTCGAGTAACAGCCATTACTATGAGGTCGCATGAAAAACATTTGAACCAACACTAAGTATATAAACCGTTTTGAACGATCGCTGAAGTGCCAAGTTCTCAAGAAATATCTTTTCACGACATAAACAATTAGAAACAACGACAAACCTATTTTACAGAAGTCAAGCGGAAAGGGTTTCCTGTTGACTAGCTCAGACCACCTAACAAACTGTGATATGATGGAGAGAGAAGAATAGGAAGATGGGTAAATCATATCTAAACAACTATGAACAATTCGGAGCAATATACTCCCATATCGCTACAATACACCATTCAAGGTCTACCACTCTCCACATAATACCATAAAAAATGTTGACGTATATACTAGAAATTCAGAAATCACTGTATAATGTTTTCAATGTTGAACGAAACTAATCAAAACATGTAGAATGTAAGATACGTAGAAGTGTATTATAGGACATCATCAAAACGAATTTAGTTAATAGTTTAAAAGACAGTAGATAATAACACGAATAATGAATTCTTAATTAAACTAAATAAAAGCAATGATTCGAGTTTCATTTTAAACATAACAAAAAATTTGATGCAAACACTGAGTTACTGGGATATTTTACATCTAGGAAACCTATTGACATTATTCAGAAGATAACAAGAATAATGAAATTATGCTTCTTTTAAATAGAAAAATTAATAAATTGCGAATAGAAATGACCAAATATAAAACACTGTGAAAATGTAGATAATAAATTTGTCTGAAAACTATCCTTAACTATGAAAGTACTTCCCAAAAAGACGAAAAACAAAAGTAGAAACTGGATTAGAACAGCCTGTGAAGTAGTTTAGACGCCGATATAAAGAAAAACGTTTATTTGTCCAACTCTACTACTGTAACATAGAACACTGCCCCATACTCAGTGATAAATAAAAATATTGTAAGAGAAATTTCAAGTGTTCTAAGGGAATAAGAAAATAAACTGAATGGGCAATGTGTCGAAAGCGATAAAAGTCAATAAACTGTTTGGAAATCCCAATCTTTTAGACAATATTGACCTAGAACTATGGAATGAAACCAGAATTAAACTGACTGAGAACAACCGTTTCAACATAACCTATGTAAGTATAAGGGTAAAATTAACCATCTACCTAGTTAAACTCAAATATTGGCGTTTGTGACACAACATATCAAAACTTTTGAAGCAAATTTCCTTAGTAAAATGAATGAATCAACCTCAGAGTACTTAAAATCACTTGGTCTCTAGCCACTAAGTCAAACATTAGAACGAATTTCTGCTTTATTTTTATGGATGAGTAGTAGCAACATGAACGCTCACACCATGAAGACGTGTATCAAAGTTGAGCATACCATCCTGCAAAATGGTAAATGAATCCCAGTATGTTTATTTTTATGTAAACATTTACAAACATACTATCCTATTAGCTTTAAATACATAATAGAAGTAAAGCGAAGTACACAATTAAGTCATTGCTGTTACATTTGGCTGTGTTTTTTTAAAAGAAATAACCATAAAAATCCTAAATACTTAGCAACAACAATAGATATTTAACAATTAGAGATAATCATGCATAAATATTTGGTTTGTATTACATCATTCAATTGCTATATAATTTTCTGATTGATAAAGTTTTAGTTTTAAAATTATACTCTACAGTGAATAGTTATAAACAGTAAAATGAATCACATGAAAGTGTAGAAAAGTAGTGTAGTGAACGAAGACTCAATTGAAGGACAACCAATTTATTAATTCATACAAAATTAGAGAATTTCTTTGAAAAATATGAAAACCATACATTGAATACCTCATTTGCAAATCTTCTATCAATTGTCCTTTACAGTCGGTATAGTTCTTCAAATTCACAATTCCATTATTTCATTTTTTGTTTTCTTTAACTCGACTTTCTTAGTCTTCTGCTGTTATGTATTCCGCTTCTAATTGGTAGTACATACAACTTATGTTAAGAGACATACGGAACGAACTGCTGCACAGTAAGGATAGGTTTACTGAATAGCAGTTTGTTTCGTTCAACTTTATTGCAGTGAAGCGTGACCAGTAAGAGTACAGGATATTTGTAGGTTACTAGTATTCGATCATAGGTGTCTTCGAAACATTGCTCGTATATCCTGGGACCACTGAGTAAGTAATGCAGCTGTTAGGAAACGGGTACTAGGTAAGGATGGCAAATCAATTGATGAAGTAATGAAACTTCATCAGTTGAGATAACTGCCCAACCACTGACTGCCTCGACGAGCTACGTTTTATGGTGTAGGAATAAGTTGGAAGAAAACTAGAGGCGGCCAGACCAAAACATGGCACAAATCTATGAAGTCACTGGCAAGTGGACTGAGCCATGTTGGTAGGTGTAGACTACCTGGCTGGGATTCGCGAGACGATAGCAACCGATGGTTAGAGACCTTGAGTGAAATGACTCAAAATCGTTTGCAATTGCACAGGTGCATCTACTCTTTGTGTTCTCCCAAATTCTAATCTGAATTCT